TGGTCATTCTCATAAACAGCAGACGGGCTGCAGATAAGAGTGGGGCACACATGCTACAACTTCATAAACACATACTGTTGACCCCCTGAGTCCAGTGCCAACGTATGACAAGTGTTTCCCACACGTCCTGCAGGTCCCACTCTCTCAGTTTAGGACTTGGTGATGAGGACACACCTAAGGCCGGACTTGGATTCTTCTGGAGGACTTTAGATTTAACCACGACGCTGCAGCTCACCGTTAAAGCTCGCAGACTAATAAAGCAGATCTCCTGACAGATCTCCGAGTAACAGCAGGCTGTAAATGTTGTAATGCGCCGCAAGGTCGTGTGAAACCCTCGGCCTTTTTGCTGCACGTTTTATAGAAATGGCTGTTTGACTATTGAAAGAGAAACCTGACATATGCATTAGAGTGTTATATAAATTTATCACAGTCTGAAGCATGTCAAGACCCAAAAACGTTATTTTAGCTCGGCTTTTTCCAGGGAGAAATTTTTATACAGAGGGCACAAAAGGCAAAACTGAAAAGACGAAGCTTTTCTCTGCTCTTAAAAACCTGCTCTCTCTGTGAATAAAAACATCTCTACCATTTAGGAGCTGCAGCATTCATCTGAAAAACCACCAATACTTTCAATCGAGTGCTGTTCAGGCTGAACTTTTGTGTGTTCGCATGTTTATTAACACGAGGACTTTCACATGCAGGTCTGACTGTGTCCAGTTGTGATCCTCAGGGCTCGCTGAAGGCTACACACACATCCTGGCAGTCGAAGTACATGTCCTCTGGCTTTTACCAACAACAGCTTGTTTCAGCGGATTAGACTTCCAGAGTCATGAACTGGAGGAGAGTGAATTATAGATGACAGGTTTGGTTGAAATTTAAATAAAAACAGACAGACAGAGAGTGCTGTCTTATTTAGCACCGCAGCTCCGTCCCAGAAGAGTCTCTACATGCTGATCGGCTAAAGATTCGTGCCGGGTCCATGTCCACAACAGGAGTTTTAGCTGCGAACTCTGTCTGAAGGAAACAGCACAACAAAGATGGATGCAAATTTTTTTTTGTAGAATGGTAGGGGAAGCTCCCGCCCTCCTTCGCCTGTGATTGGCTAGAGGTGCTGGGCTCCGATAAAACGTCATCGTCTGTCAGGTTAGGGTTAGGAGATTCAGAAGTGCAATAATGTTCCGTAATGTTCTGTTCGATGTACAGAGCCGACAGCCCGCGTTTAACTTGAGCGTGAGATGACGTTTTCAGGTTTTCTAGCCAATCAGAGGCGAAGGAGGCGGGACTTTCCCCTACCATCCTCTATGCTACGCTGCTATGCTACTGCCCCACGCTCCCAGTCAGCGATGTCTAACTGAGCAGAGACGCGACAGTCACAGAATCACCTGCTGTCTGAGAACTTCCTCACTAGGTAAAGCCACCCCAAGAACAGCACCCTCTGGTGACGGGCTGCAGTAAAGGTCATAAATCCCGATGATGACACTTGATATAGCTCACCGGGGGGAATACGCTGTTTGAGCCGAGCGTCATCACAGCGACTCTCCCGCCAAATGTGTACAACGCTTCTGCACAAGTGGTGGAAAAACTCCTGGAAATACCAAGAGGAATTCGGCGTCACATTCCGATAATAACGGAGGGCGGAGCCAAGTTGTCCATAATATATACAGGCTATGGATGAAACTCACTAAACACTAGGGTGACCTTATGTCCTCTTTTACCTGGACATGTCCTCTTTTTTGGGGGGCTGTCCAGTCTGTTCGGGGGAGTTTATAAATCCTTCAAATGTCGAGGATTTTATATGGAAGTTCTTAGTTTGTGTCACGTGGACTTACTGAGCTAGAAGTGCGTAAAAACACTCGACTCAACCCTAGAAACTCTCAAAATTTACTATGCACGACTCCGTGACTCCGCCCAGCGTAGTAGTGTCCTCTTTTTGGGGATTCAGGATATGGTCACCCTACCAAACAGGAAATTTCAAAGATCACAAAAACCTAAATAAAATGGCATTATTATTAATATTTGTTGTAGTTGGACCAGGATTTAGTGTGCAGCTTTTTCACGTCATGAGAACTCAGAACAAGATCGACTAAAGCGTGGGTCGTTTGTGAAGTTTAATGTTAAACTGTTTGACTTTTCCACACATCAGATACATTGTTAATATTTACATCAAACATAATCCAAAATAAAAAAAACAGGTTGATTTGTTTCACATTATTTCAGCTTGGGCAACAAAAAAAAAAAAGATCTCACAACCCTAATTAATATGTATTCAGGCATTATCCTTCCACAAATGTACAATAAAAGTCAAAAGAAATGTGCTGTAGGCCTGAAAATGTTTAAAAAAATAAAAACTAAAATGTTACAGTCTTACAAAACACGAAACAAGAAGGTCGAGGGTGAAAACAAACATGGCAGTCATCTTCAGGACATTCAAAATAAGAATAAGACGTGACTGAAAACGTCAGGACTCGAGAGTGAAAATCCACACGTACATGTAAATGCCATTTCAAGCTTTACGGCAAGTTGTGGCACTTACTTCATATTTTTTAATAACAAAGAAAAGGAAGGATCCCATGAATGTAAATGTGTCACAAAAAGACTAAGCTGTGTTTCAGTGTTTTTTTTTTCTTCACATCAGGAACAGCAATATCAAAAATCCTTCGCCGCTTCCTAAACTAAATGCTAGCACACGAATCAAGCCATTGCAAGACAACAAGGTGAGCACAGGAGAAAGTCTCACAAGTTTTACTCTATCCCATCAACCACCAGTAAGAGTAAACACTAAATTACCTTCAACACCTCAAGGGTTTGTTTTTTTTTTTCTCACGATTATCACAAACACAAGTTTTTTTCTTCTCTGTATTTTTTTTTTTAATCCAAACAAACATCTGACATGGCAAAAAATGTGAACTTTCAGTTTATGCTAATTTGCTGTGTCTAGAGGGCTTGTGTGTGTCGGAGGCAGTATCCTGAAACAGGCTCATCAAGCGCGTTAGCTTATGCATGGTCTAAACTCAACGGGGACTCTGAAAATAAGTGGCGTGCTCTCGTATATAACTACCCACTCTCTACAAAAATACAGTAGCAAGCTTTCTCTTCGGCGTTTCTACAACTGGTTTGAAACTATGAAGTCTATATTAGTACAAATCATATTCAAAAAATATGTAAATATGTAAGTCGCGTGGGCTGTCCTCGAAAAAAGTCTGTCCCTTTTGGCGCGCGGCGAGGTCAGTGCTAACTTATTTTCCCAGGACAACCCAGGTACGTGATTGTCTTCACCTGTTACACCCGCATAAAGAACAACTCCTGCTGGTTGATAGACACCACGCAAGGACGCACAGTGCAATGAGCCTCGAACCAACCTCCGTGTGGAACTGAAAATGTCACATACAGATATGGAAAACATGGCGTACGGCAAGTGTGAAATGTAAACCGGGAAAATGTCGCACATTGCCGATCATCTTAGTCTATTTCCCGCCGAACAAAGATGTTAAATGTAAACGCTGGCAAGAACGCAACTAGACAAGAAGTAGAATGAAACTAAATGTCTTTGGCAACTACTGGTAGATAATTACAACAATAATGATCGTCATAATGATCGTATTAACAGTGTGGATGTATGGGTGATCGTACAGCGAGGAAGAGAAGAAAGTAATACTGTTGGATCTCAAGCCCTTTGTTTTTTCTCAGTGCTAATGAGGTCGACATTCGCTTCCAATGGTTCCGAAATTTCCGGCCTGAATCCATAACAGCAAAGCTATCATGGAAAATAACCCCGATTTTCCAACGCATCAGGAACGGCGCCGCTATGGAAGGGCGGTAATTTTCGCTACGGAACGGCTGCCATTTTTGCCGTCCGCCAATTCCTACAGGATGCATTTGTGAGGCGAATTTCACGGCGGATTTCCAACAGCGGGAATTGCGAAGAACCTGCGAATTCACGTGCAATCGCGCAATAATGAGTTGTCTCTATAAAGACAGCCACATAGACGTATAGGCAGTAGATTGTGTCCTTCCAGAGAAGGAAATCTACTTCTAGACTTCTAGAATCTCCTCATCCATGGTGTCAACGGGGTGAAATACGATCCGCCGTGATCCGTGTTTTATTTTGAAAAGAAGCCGGATGTTTTATTTTGTGTCCGGCATGCTCTGGCGTCCGGGAAAAATAGAACCCCGGCGATCGGCTGTGGAGTCCGTTGATCCGCAGAGGTGGAAATCGTCACGTTAACTTGAACGGAAACGATCAGCTGCGATCGGCGCATTTACGGCCTTTTCGCCGCCGTTCCGGATGCGGTGGAAATTGTGGGTTATGAAGGCTTCAAATGGGAAACTGCCAATTCACATCTTCACAGAACAAACCTGTAGGTTCCTGTCATTAAAGGGGTAGTCCACGTCGTTAGAGATTGGTAATTCATTTGACAAATTAAACTCATTTGTTTTCTTCTTTTTTTTTTTTTCGTTCACCAGAACACACCCGATCACACGTACAGTACAGTATATGACTTTCAAAGAAGCAAGCATATGATTGACGGACAAACGGAACAAACAAAAGAAGCACGATGCTAGAAAAGGTCACTACCACTGTGGGGAATGTAAAAATAGAAGAAAAATAACATCTTGAGTGATACATGGCATATTCTGTACACGGTTTGTACAAAGACGGCTGGAGAGAGGGGGAAATATTTAAAGGTGAGGAGGAGGAGGAGGAGGAGGAGGCAATCAAAACCAAACTGGAGGCGTGGAGGGAGAGCGGTGCGGGAAGGGAGTTTGTGTCGGCGTCACAAGGTGAGCGGGGTCTTACAGACAGCCTCAGTGTAGTGCACAATACACAGGGGACTCAGGGCCACAAATTACAGACACTTTCATCATGTCAAGGAGAAGCCCACATGTGGTAAAGCGTAGAGAATAAACAGAAGCGAGGTGGGAACGGATTCGCATCCCTTCAGCGGAGCTTTATTTTCCACGAGGCCTTTCCGGCGCTATCTTGCAGAAAGTTATGTAGCATGTTACACCGATTGCTCCTTGGGGAACGTGTAAGGAGCGCGGGGGCCGGGAGCAGGGGCGGAGAAGGTGGTGTTGGAGTACATGGGCTCGCCGGGTGGCTGCTGCGTGTAAGGGTGCTGAGGCAGGAAGGTGACAGGAGGGTAGGCCGGGGCGGGCTGAGACTCGGGGTACTGTTCCATGTTGGCGACGCGCTGGTAGCTCATGTATTCGGCCGGGTTCAACAGCTCTTCTGGGCGCCTCCCAGAGTCCTGCAGGGAGAGGACAGAAGAAGAAGACAGGAGATAATTCTGCAGGGTCAGAGGGTTTGTTCTCGCCAAGAGGGAGTGACTGAACCCGACATCACAACAGATCATTACAGTGCACGGAAACAGACTCAGTGAGAGACTAAAAGGGACACGAACAAACTCAGATTTAAGAAGATTGACGGTAAATATTCATGTGAACATCCAGCAGGGTCAGCTGGACTAAAACACTCTGAACTTATTTATGATGTTGCTTTGTGGTCTTTAAAATGATGCTAGTTCTGCTTAAACACAAAAAGATCATCATTTGGACTCTTTCAGGCCTGAGAAATAAGGTAGTGAGTTGATTTTATAGTAGAGAAGGAGTCCAACCCTGATCCTTGAGGACTGCAGCCTCTGTACATGAGCCATGCTGTACTACAGATGAAGATTTTACTTGTATTTCAACATTAATAGGACATGGTTCGAGCCGTCAGCTTCTTACGGCACCAGATGTCGCATTAAATAAACCATAAGTGCAAAACCGGCCTCTAAGATCTCACATGGAGAGATCTGAATGGATGAATCACAGAGGTGTAGGCGCAGATGGAGGCTGAGACTGCTTCAGGCCAGCTGCAGAGCCGTGATGAGAGAGTCTAGGTTTGGAAACAGGAAACCGCCGTGGACATCGACCTTCTCAGTCCTGTTTAACTGAGCTGGTTCTGCTGCGGCGATGCAAAGAGCAAAAACGTGAAGCTTGAGGGTTCAGAGGAGACCCGCTAAAGGTCAGCACAGCTACTGTTCCTTTATTTTGGTATAAATCCAAAATCATGCGTGAACTCAGCGCAATTCTTGATACTCTCTGTGCTTGTAACCCGCCTCCAACCCAGCTTCGCCTTATTATGCTGACTCATGTCACCAGAGCAGGTCACTGATATCAGCTCTGTCTTTGGTTCTGGTCTGTCTGCCTTAGCGTGGATCTCTCAGACCAAAACCAAATTAAACCTAATATCCACTCCGATGACAATCATTTCATAAAACAGTTCGTCTATAAAGGCCAGAAAGGTAAAAAATGTTTTTATCTGACCACTGTCAGCCTTTCTAGCCTTTATAGAGGAACCGTTTTATAAATGTATCGTCAACAGGCCAAATGAACCCATTAGTATACTAAGATGAAAATCACATTTTTCTTGTCGTCTACATGTTCATATATTCATTTTTTTGATGCTACAGGACATATCATGAGAAAAATAAGTGTGAAATTGTATTTCTGAGTATTTCTGCGTTCAAATCTCTGTGAATTTCTGGCAGACCTGAACAGTAGGCTCGGACACAGTCAGTACATTTACATGAGTCTCTAGAAAACCGAATTTTCGCCTTATTCCGATTAAGACCAGACAATTTAAGTGCATGTAAACACTTTAGTCTGACTCCAATCGGAGTTTGAGAACTCTGATTAAGACACCCAGATAATGCGATTGGAATTCGATTGTAGCCACTTGTGACGTCTGACACCGACCTGCTGCTGTTGTTGATGGTTGTATGGGGTCAGAAACAGCGCAACTAAAAAGACCCATATCGCCCCCTGGTTTCATTTTCTCAGCTGCATGTATACGCCGACAAGGAGAGAAGTCTGATTCGGCGAAAAAAAATAACGAATTATGAGCTTAGTGCGATTAAACTGTGCATGTAAACGCACTGAGAGAGATTTCCTATGTCACAAACTCAAGCTCCGCCCCCAGAGCCCCGCTATGCAGGCCAGACTCAGAAAATTGAGAAAATGATCGCAGAACAAGCGTGTGCGTTAGCAGATTGCAATGTTCATAAGAAAGCTAATATGATATTAACTTTCATCATGTCCTCAAAGACATTCTGCTACTACACCGGTAATGTTAGGCGACAAGCTAGTGTAAAGAGGAGTGTCCAGAGCAGCGCTGTCTCCGCCCACGACTCAGAGGTGAATTACTAATGAGCTACTGGAGCTCTGCAGAAGACAAGTCCTTAAAAATGACACAGATAATGTGATTTTGGCTAAAAACTTCATAATCACAAATTAAAGACCACTGGGAACACTTTAAGTAATAAAAAATAAACGATCGTAGTGGGAATTTAAAGCTCAAAAACGATGATCTTTGACGAAAGGGAAGTGACACTTTACAACTGTTTCTACACTCCCCCTATGACCAGGTTTCGAGTGCCAATAACTGAAGCGCTCCGAGCTGTTTGAGGGATTTCATAAAGAAACGCTTCCCTGTTTGGATCATAGACACACACATACACACACACACACACACACACACACACGTGTATATATAATGTTATGGAGGACTCGGGCAGAATCATGAGAAGCGTTTTCACGGCAGACTCTGTAAAACGTTGTTGTTTTCCTCCTTAATTAAAGTGAAACTGCAGGCGCTCGGCTGTGTTTGTGTTACATCATCATGTTTAAAGCATCATCCACTCTCTCCTTTCTATTAGTATTCCAAACACAGAGGACCAGCTCCACTTGAAAGTTTGTAATAGCTTTAAGATCTTAAATGGAGCTGTGAACACTGAGTCCTCAGGATGTCAGCCGCCATGCTGATGTCCCCGAGTAAACTGTTACCCAGCTTTGGAGTAACAGTTAAGAGTCAACACGTCTGCTCAGAACAGAGAGAGGCTTGTATTTATTTTGCATCATTCGATGTTGTTTGTGTAAGATTTTAATCAAGGTGCCGGCTCTAGAGGAGGAGTTTAATATTCTGCTGAGCTTTGTGAGAGCACAACACACTCAAATAGCTCCATAAATCCAATCCACTGACAGAGAGGAAAATCACATATCTGACATGTGCTGCTGCTGCTCTGACATTTATGCTCTAACTGAGTTATAACCGTGCGCCCACATATGTTTCAGCGACCCGAGAGTCAAGTCCCGGAGACCGCGATTGTATTTTGCAATTCAATTTGTATCGACACTGCTAACCGCCGCGCTTCTCTGCTCATTAGGATCGACCACACACTGCAGACCCCGAGAGCGTCTGAGAGAGGACTAAAGACGGCGGAGTGCGGGGACGTAAATACAGAGAAAAACAGTCAGAAAAAGCAGCTCCAGACTTTTCTGAGTAAATATTCTACGTCACAAAAACTTTACAGGAAAAACAAACAAACAAACATCAAAGTTAACGACTCGAGGAACCACAGGACTACACCACAACCTTTACCCCCTCTACCATATTACTATTACTAGACTGGAACACCAACATTACTACCATAACTACAACTAAAACTGAAACTTCTGTTACCACCACCAAAACTATCATTACCCAACTACTAATACTACCACTTTTACTATTATTACTGCTTCAACTACTTACTACTACGGGGATTAATAAAGTTACTCTTATTCTTACTAATACAAGACCTTTGACTGTTACCACACATAATACCATTACTATATCAAATACTGAAAACACTATTAAAATTATTACTTCTACTACAATTCCTACTCTGACCAAAACTTTCATCAGCACAACTAAAACTTGGTACTTCAACTTGTAGTACTTTTGCTAACATTACAGATTCTGCCTCTACTTCAATTACTTCTACAACAGCTGCTCTTTTTACTACTTCCTTTACTGCTCTTGTTGTTGCTGCCACAACTATCACAACTGTAACTAGTACTACATATTCCTCTCTTCCACTAATACTTCAGTTTTAATTACTAGTGCATGTACTACACTTACTTCACTACTTTGACCATTACTTACAGTACTACATTTACCTCTACTACTTCAATTGCCTCTTCTTTTACTATTAGCACTTCTACTACATCCACCACTACTTTTACTACTATTATCATTATTTTACTTCTCCTACTGAACATATTTAACATTATTATGATGCATCAAAAGCACATTAATAAAGCCCAATGAATGAATCTATAACAGTAATAAAAAATAGCTTATAGTAATGGTAGTACTTCATAAAGGTATGATTTCTAATGTGTTATACGTTAATGAAAAGGCTTTAATAACACATAACTCTCATAACTTTACCCTGTTTGTTAATAACTTAATTTATGTATCATAAAAAGTTATAATTTAAGGTTTTAATGAATCATATTTTTGCTCTTTTGTTTGCTGCGGACAGATAAGGTTTTGAAAAAGTTCATAAAATGTTTAAATGTTTTGAAAATGAAGAGACGGTTTTGAAAAGTTTCGTCTGACTCTTTACTTAAAGTCACAAAATTCTGCTGATAAGATTTTAAATGAACTTTGAACAGAGACGTCACTGTACTAAATATTACACTTCAGATTAAACATTTGCTGGGATTTCAGTGACACTAATTAAATGTTTAACTTCGCACATAAATCACTATATTTTAAAGTCATTCTGTCAGTTTGTCAGATAACTCTTGTCTTCCTCTTGGAGTCAAGACTATAATAAGACGACCCCTAAAGTGAAAAACATGCTTCTTTAGCTGATAAGACACCATAAAACCCTGAGTACATACAAAAGATAATTTAACTAGAATGTGACCTTCATGAAGGTGTAAAATACACTATTTTATCCTTTAATTTGAATTAAATCAACATTTTAAATATATGAATTCTCATAAAAATGCAGGAACTGTGTTGTAGACGCTCAGACGTCCTCCCTCTTATACCCGGTGCCTCAGTGTGTTCAGTCAGGGTGTCTGATGGCATGTGCATTCACAGATAAAAAGACTGTAACAAAAGCCGAATCAAAGGGACCCTTATTGGAAAAGGCGCTGGGACGGATGGCGAGATAAGCCCGATGGATCTCCGAGAGTCACAGGGGTGAGCGCTGATTGTGTGTGACGGTGAATCAGTGTTTTCACCGCAGACGACGTGAGAGTAAACCTTTCCTGACACACACGCCCTGAAGACGCTGACGAAAGACTCTGAAGTTCTTATTTCTTTCAGGTCAGTTTGTTTCAGAAAAGTTCGTCTTCTCCCGATAAAACGAAACCGTTAAACAACCGTCAGAGAAGCAGCTTGTCTCTAAACGTATTAGTGCGAACGATAAAGTGTCAACTATGTGAGAAATTCTCAGCCTAGAGAAAGAAAAGTGTTAATTTATCATTTATGAAAATAAATACATTATTTGTACAGTTTTGTAAACATTGTGATTTCCTTTCTTCTGTTTTTAACGAACTGTAAACGGAGCTGAAGGAGATGAAACATTAGTTTGGCTAATTTACTGTAACAAACATTTTCTTATGAAGCTCTTTAGTCACGTTTTTGGATATCTGGAAGGGTAAATGTTGACTTCAAGTTGCGGTAAAAGTGGTTTAAGTTTTAAGTCTTGACTCTGGAGTGGACAATATCACAGGACAGAAATAGGAGGACAGATGACGGCGAGGACGGAGGTGGAGAAGGTCACCAATCAACACATCGATGGATTCAAAGAGAGGATGAATTCTCAGAGTTCTCAGCGACATCCCTTACCTTATATATTGTCTTGTTCACTTTATCATTATTAATTTATCTGATTAATTATGAATGCAGGACAAAAAACCCTCCTGGAAAGGTCGTGTCAGACTCAGATGTACGTATGTAACGGGGGGAGCAGGGGCGTTTAGGCTCGTCTCGCTCTGATGTGGATGTGGATTTGGTCAAACAGATTTCTTTGTGCAGCTTCACACTTCTCTAAAACCTGCTGAGAGCCAAATATCAGCTGAACTGACAGCGAATCTCCATGCTGGCTTAAACTCATCGAGGTGTAGCTCAGAAAGTATCACAAACATTATAAACAACGCTCGCAGCCTGCTGTCAGAAACTAAAACAAACCCGCGTCGTGTCTTTGTTTGCTCTGTTCTGACACTGTAACGCAGCCTGTACTCCTCTCTGTCCTGCAAAATGAAACTTGTGGAAAAGTTTGGATTGTTTCTTTATGTCTTAGGAAAAGATTTGCCTCTTATTTGGCACAGAAATAACATTTGAATGCATGAGTTTTCCTGTAGCCTGGAGCCCCTTAACAATTTTATAACTAGTTTAACCTCCAACGTTTGTTAATCGATGCGTTTTTTAAAGTCCTCTCCACCACTGGGTGATCTTTAACAGAAGTCAAGCTGACAGGGTCTTTTCTATCTCTAAGACTTTCAACATTAAACTCCGGGCAGTGGGCCAGGGATTTGGATGATTTAGGATAATAGCCAATTGAAAGACAGAGACTTCCTTCTTGAGGGGAAATTAATGTTTAGAGGGTCATTAATGGCAAAAGATTCTTTTTGACTTTGGAAATTAAAGCAGCACTGGACAGAGATTTTATGTAAAATTAAACATCCCATCAGCTCAAGTCAAAAATTAAAAGAAGGAAGACGGTCTCTGGTATTTTGACTTCGTCAGGACTAAAACTGTCGAGACCACAAGAAGTCAAAACACTCTTTAAGCAGAAGGACGCTCTGAGGCTTCTTAAGCAGAGTCTCAGTCTGATGCTGACATGATGACTTATGGTTTCTGCCATCCTTAAAGACTCCAAATGAACAACTACTCAGCTCTGTAAATGACATGGATGTGCCAAACTTAAAGACTCCAAATGAACAACTACTCAGCTCTGTAAATGACATGGATGTGCAGGAGCAGCTGGACCAGATGGAAACTAACATAAATGGAGACTGCGGTCCAGTGCCGGCGTTTGATTTCATGACCTTATTTTCAGGGTTGTAACGCCGTCATGTATCTAAAGTCAAAGTGATAACAAAACCATTTAAATCCAAAACTTCGATAAAAGACATAAAAATGGTGTTACGGTAAGGTATGATACTATACAATCTGTTATGATGCGATATGTTACGCTACAGTGTATGACAACACAATACTATACAATTCTTTACATTATGAAGCAGTATGATATGTTGGAATACAATGTTGCGATATTTCATGATAGGATGTTACGATACTGTATGATATGCTATGATATGTTAGGATACAGCATGTGATGATAGAACTATATGTTTCTATAGAATTCTTTATATTACGATGCAATATATGTTGTGATACACTGTTATGATATGGTATAATATGTTATATGTTAATATGTATCATACAATAAGGTATGATATGTTTCTATACAAAATTATGCTGTAAGATATTTCATAATCAAAGTCATGTTATGTTACAATATGTCATGATATGATGTTACGATATGGTATGATATGATGTAGTACCACTCAGTATGATACAATACATTCTGTTATGAGAAGATATGTTACGTTATTTTAAGTTAGGATACAACATGTGACGACACAGTACTATAGCTACTATACAATTCTTTATATTGCCATATGATACACTATACAACAATGTTGTATTAAGATATGTCACGATACCATGTTACGATATGGTATGTTATGCTAACATATGTTAGGATACAATATGTGATGACAGACCTTTACGTTACTTTATAATTCTTTATATTATGATACAATATGATGTGTTTTGATACAATGTTACAATTTGATATCATAGGTTACGATATGCTACGATATGCTACAATATGTTATGATATAGTGTTACAATAAGTCATGATATAATGTTACGATACGGTATGATATGGTACGATATGTTAGGATACAATATGTTAGGAAATAACTATTCTTCACTGCAACAATTTATATTACGAAACAATAAGATATGTCATGATACCATGTTACGATAGGGTATTTTATGCTACCATATGTTATGCTACAATATGTTAGGATACAATATGTGATGACAGAACTATACGTTACTATACAGTTCTTTATATTACGAAACAATATGATATGTTATGATAAAATGTTATGATGTGGAATAACATGTTATATGTTACAATATGGTATGATACGTTTCTCTATATGATATTTTACGATACAATGTTACAACAACACATGTTGGTAAATGCACAATATAAGAGCCAAAATCCATGACCTTTGAGTGTCTGAGGCCTGAAGCAACTCTACCAAGGGCAGCTGCTGCAGGGCTGCCGGTGTATATGACTATTTGTTGGGAGGATTTGTTGGATGTAGCCACGGTGAGGTCAGGCCAAGAGCTCAGACGTCACTTTGCCTCTATGCTGTATGTCCTTTCTGTTTAAACTCTCTCATTCATGCTGAAAAACTTTTTAATTCTTTGAAAAATTAAAAAAATTAAAAAGATAAATGATCACTTATGTATTTAAAACTGAGTTTAATCTAAATTAAATCTGGCTCACCTTGAAGTCATTCTGAAGCAGCCATACATTGGACAGATAGCATAACCTTGGAGAATTACGGCCCAAAGTACATTTCTACTATCTCTAATAATAAACGTATGCAAGGAAATACATCAGACTGTGATTAACAGTTTAACTGATTGGTTTTAAGTCGAGGCCCAAAGGTGAATTAAAAGGCTTTTATTCCTCTCAGGGAATAAAAGGGCGATCTGACACCCTCGAGTCAGAGTCTGGCCGAACAAACAAAGATTTTATTGAACGGTACAACCTCACGACTGCAGCCAGTCAGGATGGGCTTAATGCTCATTACAAACAAGTTATGTTAACAGGCAAATCCCAGGAGGGCTTTCATGTTGAAATCTTCCTCTGCTACAGTGAAACATCAATTACAGAGCTGCTGACTGAACACCTTGTGAGAGCTGACATAACAGCTAAATCAATGTTCATTAATTTCTTCGCTCTGTCTCACAACTGTGTTATCTAACGGCTGAGCGTGTTTTCTGATCTGTCTCTAAACAAGCCTCGTTTTTTAGACTTGATGGCAGACGCTTCAGATGTTGATTCCACTGATTAATCCAGAAAGGTTATTTAAGAGGTGAAAAATGCCGCCTTATCGAAATCATCTCCTGCTTTTCTCTTTTAATTCTACCTGTTTCGGTGATGTCCTTTTAACAGCCCGTTTTCTTCAAAAAGGAGGCTGCTCTGCTCCGCTCTGCACGAGGTGATGAAGATTTTTAAGGCCCACATCCAGAATAAATTAAGTTTTACTGGATATTTTTGGAAGACTTTGAGGAGCTTCTTCCCACATGCAGCTGCCAAAGATTTAATACTGAAGATAAATCCAGGATGTTAATGCAGACTACATTAAGAATCATGTTATGCAAAAATGTGAAACTTTCTCAGAAATAAAAACTCTCTTCTCTTCTTGTTCTGGATATCTGGTCTGATTGTGAAACTCGATGTTCTTGGCGTCTCTTCTGAATCAGAATGAGACTCATTTCTGAGCATTTATTCCTCCTCCTAAAACAGCAGAAATACATTCAGACGTACAGTACAGGCCAAAAGTTTGGAAGCAAGGCCATTAGAGGCCGAACAGTTGGGAGTAACTTCAAGTTTTTGTTCACAATGCTTTTTTTCTTTAAATCCAGCATGAGTTTTATGTATTTTGGGATGTATTTACTCCATGATCAGATGTTGCTTTCATGGAAACGCACCATTTTACTCCATTTACCTTTAGATATACATTGATGTAAAGAGACCATTGCTAAATATATGTCAGCAAAAGATAATAAGGGCTTAGTTTAAGGGTTGAAAACATTTGCAAGAGTCACAACTTCAGTGCAAAAACAAGAAAACAAATCACAGTTGGATAATTCCCTTCAACTTTGTGGCCTTTGAGAGTCTGCAGACAAAAATCCTAATTAATCTCAACTGCGTTCAAATTACCGCAAAAATGGCTAGAAAGAAGCAACTGAGTAAAGAAACAAAAGTAAGGATTTGTACATTGAGGAAAGAAGGATTCACAGAAAGAGAAAAACACCTAAAGGTGTTTAACAAAGGAGTCCACTACACTCTGAAGAGACTAGAGGAACCTGGAAGTTCTGATGATAGAAAAAGACCTGGACGAAAGAGAGTCACTACAAAAGCAGAGGATAAACATATTATTGTCATCAGTAAGAGTGACATCCTCCAGCACCATGCTGCTCCATCTGGACTCAGACTTGTGGCTCATAAGTTTGTTTTGCAGCAAGACAATGACCCTAAGCACTCTGCCGAGCTCTGTCAGGGTTACCTAGACAAAAAAGAAGAGGAAGGTGTTCTTCAAAAGATGGTTTGGCCCCCTCAGTCTCCAGACCTTTCTCCAATTGAGCTTGTGCGGGATGAATTGGATCGATTGGTCAGAGAAACGCGTCCCATGAATCAGCAGTCGCTTGGAATGCAATCCCTGGAACATACCGTAGAAAACGTGTGGAACGAATGCCTGGTATATGCCAAGCTGTTGTTAAAGCCAGAGGAGGTTACTTTAAAGAAAGCAAAGTCTAAGCAACAATAACTCAAATACCTGATAATTATAGTCAAAATGTCTTCTGATAAGTTACTCTTTACACAATAGTCATGTTTATGTTGTTGCAGATTATATGTATGAAACTATGATCTTTTTTGTACAAATCTGATCTTGCTTCCAAACTTTTGGCCTGTAGTGTATAAAATGATAAAAGTTTAGTACAGCACACTGTCGAACTGACACCCATCAGACTTCAGTCCTGCGGCTCCTTCTGTTCTGTCCTCGCTGTGCTGCTTCCTGATACAAACACCCGAACAGCAGCTTTAATGGCCGCATCCTGAGCAGCGTCTGTCTACAAGCTGCACTTTGAGTTTTCTTTTCTTACCTCTGCAGAGTGAAGCCCTGTCACTGAGAAGCTGAGCGGTAATGCACATTAATGCGCCAAATTTGCAAGAATAAATACATTTCTACAGGAAATAAGAAGCAGTTGACACTGGAAACGATCTCTTGCATCTTATTTCTTTTTCTTTCCAAAGCAAAAGAGTTTTTCTTCCTTTTTAAACAGAATTCATTCCTCTAAAAACAGAGCTGTGGTGGACTTTTAAATAGATATGTCTGCGCCGTAATGAAGCCGTGGTTTAGGTGAGGGAAAGACGGTGGTCTTAAATATTTGAAATGACTCCAAGTTCGATCATTTCTCCAAAAAAAGCACATTTTCAGGGGACTGTGTTTTCCAAACCTTAACAAATGTGGAAACCAGGCGGTAAATCTTCGCCAACCCTCCCAGAAGTCTGACAGATTGGTTCAAAAATCTAATGATTCCTCGGTGAGTAATTTGTTTTTCACAAAAGAGTAATGAGCGCAGTATTTCACAGAGACAATGTCGGAGGGAGAACTTCTGTTCTGAATCAGTGTGCATGGTTGGAGTTAGCAGTGAAGCCGGAAAACACACTGAAAAACTTGTCAATAGACTCGTTTCACTATTATTGATCATGCATCGTAAAGAACCCGACTTTCATAAAACTGGGAGGCTGTAAACACAAAAGAGTGTTTCATATAGAGCTGATATAGGACTGGAATTAGTGCAAAGACTGAACATCAAATGTTGAATCTGATGTTAGGACAGAGAAATGTTTATTATTTCTGTTTTTTTGGAAGGGATTTTCAGTTTTTGTCTTTTGTCTTTCAGAGATTTCTGCTGATTCTCTGAATCAATCAATCAATCAACTTTATTTCTACAGCACGTTTGAAAAGAACCACGGGGGGATAGCCAAAGTGCTCTACAATGAGACATAAAAACAAATAAAAAGCAAATATCAAGATAAAGCAAAAAATAAATAAGTAAATAGATAAATAAGCAGGCTCACGGCAGGTGCTAAGAAGATAACAAACAAAATAAAACCACAATGTGTTAAAAGCCAAGGAGTAAAAGTGCGTTTTTAAGAAACAGGAAATGAGGAGACCTGTCTGATTGTCAAGTGTGACTCGTTCCACAGCTCGGGAGCAGCTGTGGCAAACGCTCCGTCACCTCTGAGCTTCAGTTTTGTTTTAGGGACCGTCAGCAACAGCTGATCAGCCGATCTTAGGGGTCGGGGTGGGCAGTAAGTCTGGAGCACTCCGGAGATACATGGTGGAGCAAGATTGTTCAGGCCTTTAAAAAACAAACATTTCACTGTAGATGATAAAATCCTGGATCTTATGTCAGGAGTGTAACCATGAAACTGTTGAACTATTCGCTCACACAGTCTCTCACAGACAGAGACGCTGAAGACCTCTCTGTTATACCCCTTTGTGAACATTTTGCGAATTAACCGAGTTTCAGTGAGAGTGGCTGGAGTTGCCTGCCTGAACTAGCTCTCTGAGTTTGTTTTATTCATTGGTTGATGCTCCATCAGGTGATTTTTTTGCAGTTTTTTTTAGTGATTTGTTGTTCCTGTCGGAGGTATTTTAAGCGTTTTAGTTCACACAAACTTGTCGTTAAGCTTTCCAGGTTCAACTTTTGATGTTTTCTTTGCACGTCTCCAACCACATACAGAGTTTATAAAGGTCTAACATAAATTTTTTTTCTGAGATTAAAGTCAGAATTCTGACTTTTAACTTAGAATTCAGACTTTTTTTCTCAGAATACAAAAATAAAAAATTGATCTTTTTCCCCCAGTGACCCTTATCCTCTTCTGTAAATGACTTGTTGTCTTTAGGTCTGCTTTTTTTTTTCTAATAATGCAGTTACTTTTGTTTCGTCACAGTAAGAAAGAAATGACTGAGATAAAAATGCAGATAAATTGCCTTGAAACCAACGGGAGATATCTAAACTTACCGATCCGTCGTCTCCTTTTTCTTTGAAACATCACAGAACATGAGGGTTAAAAACACACACACACCTATAATCGACTGATGTCAAGATTTTTGTCTTTGGAGCCGGTTAGACGCCGTAAATGTACCTCCTGCTGTTAACCTGCGCTCTGAAATCCTCTCTATTTGGAGCTGTTACACCTGAGGCTCACCTGGAAAGTGAATCAAAAGCTCCAAATCAAAATATCAAGACACGATCATTCGTCTCTCATCATTCAGATCGTGTATCACTCAACTTTGAAAATGTAAACAACTCATTCGAGCTGTTGATTTCATTTTCGTTTAAGACGTGATGCACGATAATATCTTTTACTCGTGCAGTTATGTCTCGGGGAAGAAACTGCCTCTAAATGAGAGCAGAATTGCTGTTTCAATAACACACACTTTGCAGAGCGGCCCAGCAGGTCTCAACGATCGCCTGAAGAAAGCTCCTGAATTGCCTGAAGAATAACCGTTGGGAGGAATCGTTACGGAAACCGGTCCGACCAGCCGGGAGACACAACCATTTGTGTCCCCCTTAAATCCCCCCTCTGCTGCATGTGCGTAATGACGGGCTGCAGAGGACTGTGTTTGTGCGGGATGGGAGGGTCCCTCCTCCTCCCCGCGGCGTTCTCCCGTGAGATATCAGAGCAGCATCTTGGAGACGGGAGCTTGTTTTCCCTGATAGCCAATCAGGATTGTGGAGTGTGGTAATCAGCTCGGAAACACATTTCGCTTGACTCTGTTTGTAAAAAAAAGAAATTGATGCATCTTCGGTTTTTGACACCGTCAGTTAGGAAATGACTTCAAAACAGCCTCAAGCACTGAGAAACTTTCTACCTATAAAGTCAATTTCACGGAGGGCGGTTCAACATTCCTCGTAGATTTCCGTGCAGTGTGGGCATGCAGCTAAATCTCTACTGTTATTGACACGACTAGGAAATGTAATAACGGTGAATGCTATCTCTAGATTCGTCTGCGGTGATTCATGCACTAAAAGAGCCTCTCTTTGCAGGACTTTATCTGAAATAGAAGCAGCTGATTTATGTGCATACATTTCTGCACGCGTCTGTCGCGAGTGCTTCGCTGTGTGTTCATAAAAGCCGGAGAATTTCTCCGCGTACTGCAGAGCAAAGAGGGGGGAGATCAAATGAAGTCAAGGACCAAAGAGGGAGGGAGACAAGGGAGCACATAGAGGAGAGGTCTGTGCGTGTGAAAGGAGGTGAAGAAGAAGAAGAAGAAGAAGAGAGGGAAGGAGTGCATCAGTCTGTGTACCTTGAGGCCAAAGTCTGAGGGGAAAGGCCTATAATGGCATGCGCTAGTGTGAGCTAGGCTGGATGGTTGCATACTCGACAAGATCCCCAGGGCCAGTGTGAGCAGAGCTTCGTGGGCTGGGAGAGGAGGCCAAAGCTGCAGTATCCAGCTCCGCATACTGGACATCACAGTCCTTGTGGCCAGAGTTCTGGGGACAAGAGAGGCGAGAGGCGTGTGAGGAGTGAGGCAGCCAAAAAAAATATGAGAGAGAGAGAGAGAGAGAGAGAGAGACTGGAAGAGGGAGGAGAGATCTGATGGTCATGGGGACGTTCAGAGTTTGTGAGCAGCGGTGTTAGAGAGTGAGAACACATGGAAGAGGTAAATCAAAAAAAATCAGACAAACACATAAAAAAACCATCAACAGAAAATCAAAAACAGTCGGACAGAAATTAATACAAAAGCTTCAGACATGGAGAAGGACTTTGGACTTTGTTTACATGCACATAAAGATGTTTTCCATGATTCTCCTGATTCAGAAAATCGTGTTTATTTCTTCTGAGTTACGGCGTGTTTACGGTGGAGCTGTTCGCACGGCTCTGCTGCTGCTCGTGTGTACGTTTCTCAGAAATGATGCAGAACTTGGAGTGGACAGGCATGAAAAGTGGATTTCAACAAAAACAATTACTGGAAATAAACAAAAAACCCCCAAAACACAAAGTTTTGGGCAGTACTGCAACTTTAAAACTTGGATTTGAGCGAACAAACTGAATATAAAATCCCTGATTGTGGCTTTAACTGTGGTTACTGTGCTGGAAAGGATTCTGTACGGAAAACATCAGCATGCATGTAAACGCAGACAAAGACCTTCATTTAACTCCTGACCACCGTGCACAAACACACGTCCGATGATTGACTGACTGATTGATCGCTCGATGAGCAGTTGGCCGAGTGGATGATTGAGCAAATCATCTTAACGGGCCGATCAATACATGACAATGAGGGCCTTCAGCGCTGATTATCCTCGAAAATACGTCTCCGATTGTTGTCTTCTGCTTCACACCGGAGATTCAGAGAGAAAGTGTTAATAATGATGTGAGAGATGATGACGATCGCTGAGGAGAGGAGCGCTGAGAGTGTTTAAAGACGGGAGGAGCTGAAGGACGAAATAAAGAGACAACAAGGTAACAGGGCGACAATCAGGCAAAACAGGGTTTGATTTCATCTGCCTTTATTTTTGTTAAAGTTATTAAGATTTATTCACCCTCAGGTTAAAAAAGATAGGAGGCAGTTTAATAAAAACAGGATCTGATGATTTCCAGATGATTTAAACGCTTCAGTTCATAAAAATAATGTGAAGACGAAACAGACAAAAGTTGATGTTTTAGGAAATCAGACGCTCAGTTTGAATTTGATACTAAAAAGTTTGGACCAGACTAGGGCTGCACGATTCATCCATTTTAAATTATGATCTGATTATTTAATTATGACGATGTTAAAAAATTTAGATCCTCAGGCCACTGTAAACCAACATGGCGTTTATAAAAGAAGGTGATAATTTTGTGGTTAAATAGGACAAGAGCGAGTCAGTCGTGTTGAATTGGTACGACTTCACAGTTTCAGATGAAGAGTAAACCACTCCCTGCCGCAAAGTCTGTCTGAAGGCGGTATCAACCCGTCCCCACGGAAACGAATTCAGGAGGAAACGCTAAAGTTTTTTGTCATATCAGCATTTCAGTACTTTTTGAAAACGGGTCAGAGAGTGAATAAATCTGTAAACAACGACCATTTCATCTCTGTGTGGATGTCTATCTGCATCTCTGGAAACGATCATGTGACACACAGCGTAAAGGTCATAACACACCGGGACCGAGGCAAATTACGCGAAATTACGAAATATTCAGAGGCGAACTTTGACGTGCCTGACTATACACATCAAGCCGGACTCGATTTTGTGATTTTCCGGGGAAAAAAGACGCGTCCCGGTCGGAAGCGAGAAGACTGAGCCAACAGCAGACTGAGTGTTTTTCAGTTCTGATTAGACTCTAGTGTTGAGATGTCTGTCTGTCATGATAGCATGTACTGAGGCGGGGCCAGTACCAGATAAGAACATTAAACTATAATCCATTAACGTAAATTTGGTGAAGTCGTCACTGAATAAAAAATCTAAACTGGGATTTTATCGTGCAGCCCTACATGGACTGTTTATTTGATCTGATAACAAGCTGGATGGAGGAAGTGACGTTCGTGATTTCCTGGACGAATAGATTCCTCTAGAAGGAGAAGATCTTGGAGGTTATTTTGTGCCCCTGTGGTGATTTCCACTCTAGAGTCATGTCTGTTTTAATGCATTAGGGTCTGAAGATCTTAGCAACACAGTTTTTTTTGTTTGTTTCTTCCTTTACATGATGTTAATGTTATGAAATGTAGACGATAAAATTCCTAATTTCTTTGCAACACTATATTTAAGTTTTTACATATCCAGCCATGTTACTAACCTGTTTTAGTTTGGTGGTATTCCTACACAACTCTTCCCTGGTCTACTGATGAAACCTTGAACTATTTTCTTACGTATATCATCAGGATCCGTCTTTATTTGTATTTTGCATCCCAACTCTTTTGTAATCGAGGATCTCTACAGTCCGATCAAAAGAATAAAACGTGTCGAGATGAAACTACAAACGGTTTTCAGCTCAGAGGAGGACAAACAGGAACCAGATTTCACTGATGTTCTCATAGCTGACAAGACGAATTACCGCCGATCGACTCCAGGAATCAGAAGATAAAACACAAACCAATTCCTTCGGCTCATTTTGAGGAGCAAGACTCTTCAATCTCCTTTTACCGCCGCTGCTTCTGAGTATTTATGCATTCTGCGAGGCTAAACGACGACATGAGCGAGGCGGTGATTGGATCAAATGGTCCTATCTCTCCTGTTAGTCTGTGGGCTTGTTCCTGGTAATGAAAATGGCGTAAAAAGTGAGGCGGTAATGACGGCGAATGCACAGCGGGGATGTCAGCCGACCTGTTTGTATGTATGTGAGGGAGGAACTGCAATGAGATGATACCTGTCAGCTCTCCCAACACATCTGTGCACCACATTTCACCTGAGAAAGGATTACACAGAAATGATTACAGAGTCTCACATTATTGATTCAGATCCACCGCCTGCATGTGCTGGATATTTAAATATATAAATGTGATATTTGTCATGACCAGGGAGCAATCAAGGGGAAAATTACAGCTACATTGCATTCCAAAATTGGCAGATAGTGTTTTGCCCCGAGAGAATCATCATTAGTAACACTCGACGATCAGCAGTCAATGCATGTCTCTCACAAATAGTGTTTCGAGAACCTCAGTGATGCCCGATTCATCTTAAAAGCCGCCTGAACTTCACTTTAAGAGGAGTTTTATCAGAGATAAGACATAAATCTGAGGAGAATCTACCCTCTGTGTCCAAAGATTATCAGAATTAAACACCCCGTTCCTCTGAGCGTAGGCTTGAAGATGATCATTTAATATCCTTGAAAAACGAAGCAAAAAATCAAAATCAATCCAAGCAGCGAAGGAGCCGGTCGGTGATTAAGTCATCCCTGCAAGTTTAGTGGGAAAAGATGAGCGATTTAAAAAGCACAAGTTCAACACAGACAGAGCAGGACGTTTATGAAGCAGATCAGGTCTCGACTGCAGGAATGATCGCTCAGCCGGTCCAAGACTCGTAAAACTTTAACACCTGTGTGAACGGACCGGACAGTTAAACCAAATATCCATTAACTCAGAAAGATCCAGGCGTGTGAGACAAAGAGAAGACTGACGGTGAGGTTTCAAAGAAAAACTTAATATGCAGCTGGATCTATGCTGGGTTTACAAAGCACCTGTTCTCTTACCTTACTTCTGCAACGACCCAAAACTAAGACTGTGCCGAGGAACGTTAACAGCAGCTCTCAAACTTTATCATGTGGAGGTTCATATTTAACAGGATTAACATGGAGGACAAACTGAAGGACTTCTGCAGACTATTGTAGGTTTGCTAAACTTTAAGTGCAAAGCTGGTGCTGTTTTAGTTTTCCATATAAAGTCAACAAACCTCATGAAGAGACCAAAACCTCTATAGTTGTTATCCTCCTCTATCAATTACTCTGTCGCCATGGTTACATGACCCAAGAAAACAATAGTTTCTGCAAATGTTTTCTTCTGCGTATGAATTTCACATCACACCTGCTGTTTAAGTGATTTCAGATGATTATTGCAGGTTTGATCTTGGACAAGGAGGATTCTACTTATTGGATATATCGTTCAGCCTTAATTGGTTTACATAATTGTTGCTACTTCTTCTTATACGTCCACATCACTGATAAAAACACTTGTTAGGGTTCATTTTCGGTCGGTTCTGGTCCCCACACTGAATTTGTCGACTGTAAAATAAAGCAGCTGAAGATCTGAGCTCATTAATGTCAATCCTGATTGAATATTTACATCAATTTAAAATGATATAACAGTTTCTGTACCACAGATAAACACCTTACAGGTTCCTGTCGTCACTTTCTGCACTCCTGCCCCCTGTCATACTCTCCTCTCCTCGCCTTCAGCAGATGTTTCCTTCTTACAGGCAGCATGACACTCCTCACCTTCATTAGCAGCACAGTAAGCGATGGTGATACTAATTTAAAACAGACTCTTCCTGTCTGCTACTGTACGGCTGCTGCATTTACTACCCCAAAAGATTTCTGCGGCACATAAACACACACACACACAGAGACTAACACACGTGCACACAAGCTGTCTGTGAGCTCCAGAGTTGTATTTTTCTTTAACTCAAAGCTGAGACTGCAGCCAAAGCAAATAACGCCTCAGAGACTGCAGCATGTTTGGCACTAAAGGGGGGAGTACGGCGCAGTTAGCAGAGGCCTCTGATACAACACGGCAAACTCCTCACAGCCAACAGTTAGAGACGATGTACTGCAGAGCACACACGGCAATTAATCTGCACGCTGTCCCACTGCAAACACACACATAATTATGATTGATTAGAGAGCGAGTGGAGGGGAGGCGGAGGGCAGAGCAGGTAATGGGTGTGAGGTCGAAAGGTGAAACTACGTTAACACATCCACACGCTCACAGAGGCGACGTCAGAGTGAGACAGAAAAAGTGAGAGATGGAAATGATGAGATAAGGAGCTTAGTCTGAGCGCCCCGTGGATTTACTGGTCTGCTCGTTAGAACGGCTCAGGTCCATTTTTAGACCCCGGATCCTCGCTGACATTCAGGACGCGTCACATTTGCAAATCAATTCTCAAATACCTGCCAGCGAAAACAGACCACAGACCGTTCAACCTTTTTCACCGAAGGCAGCGTCTGCGGATGACCCCCCCGCTCATAAAAGACGCTCCTCTGAACCCGCTCGTGGCGCCACCACTCACCGGCTTATCAGTGAAGGGGGTCGACTCGGAGGGCGCCATGTCGTAATAAGGAGGCTGAAGAGGGAGCTTCTGCATTTCCTCGTCCTTGTCCAGATGAACCACCTGCAGGAGGACGACACGGAGAGCTCAGAGAGACTCGTAATGAACTTCACTAAAGAGGCAGGTCAACCACTTTAAACAGACGTGAGCGCCGTTTCAACGACCACGTCACATAAACAACCACGCTCTCTCACAGAGCGTAGGAGGGACTTCAGTTTAGATTTACTCTGGTTTAACAAAAGAGACTCTAGCTTTAATAAAAAATATTAATCATCATAATCATGAGAAGAAAAAAGATATGAAATGACCTGAATTATTAAAATTTTAAGATATAATTTTGAGATAAGGTTAAATTATAATTTAGTTTGTCTATAATGAGAAATTAAGTCATAATTCTGATTAAAGCTGAAAGTCAAAATCATAAGATCGCATATAAAGATTATGATGACAATTAAGCCATCAATAAAAGATCAAACTTTAAGACAGTGTGTTATATTTATGGGATGATAGTACACTGTAAGAGTAAGACAAAAAGTCAATCCTGTTATTGGAAAACGTCTTGGGATGACAACTGTTGTGAATTGGAACTATATAAATAAAATTTGATTGATTGATTAATGTGTTTTTTTTATCATTAGGAGTTAGTTTGTTGAAATCATGTAATAAGTCAAAACTATCAAAATGTTTGTTGTTATTAGGAGTTAATATGCAATAAAAAGTCAAAACTATATAAACAAGTTTGTCATTATTATGAGTTGATATGTTGAAATTACAGAATAAAGAGTCAAAACTATATAAACAAGTTTGTCATTATTATGAGTTGATATGTTGAAATTACAGAATAAAGAGTCAAAACTATAAGAAAGTGAGTTGATCAGTCATAATTTTGAGATAAAAACTGAAAAATGAGATAAAACGTCAAATGTTCATGAAAACATAATATCATTATTATACCTTTTTCATGAAATAAAGAAGTAAAAAAAAGAATGAAGACAAAGTCAATATTCTTAGTTAAAAAAACATAAAATAAATGTGTGAAATAAATACAAAATTTTAAGATTTTTTTAAAAATATAATTTGAAGCTATGATATTCAAATCAGAATTATGAGTTTGTAAAAATATTGAGATAACAAAGTTTAATTAAAGTAAATCAAATAATCTCATGAATATCACCCTTAATTATTAACCATTTCACTAAAATGATTCATATTTAGGGTTTTTTTTCTAAATATTAAATGTCCATTTATGTAAGCTGATCTTCTCTTTGAGGATCTTCTTGATTGTCTTCATTTTTTTCCAAAACTAAACTAACTCAGAGTCACTCGTATAAAGCAGATTATCTGTAAAAATCAACTTCATAAATCTGGTCTGACTCCCATGAGGAGGATCAGTCTCAGTCTAAAACTCCTCATAGTGTCTTTAACGTCTGAAAATGAACTTTCATAGTTCAGAGAAAGCTGCAGAAGACTATTCTCCAGTTTCTCTTCTTCTTCATATTCTCACGATTTTTGTGGTAATGAGCAGAAACAAGATGTGAAATCTGACAAGAAATACAGTCTGACAGGAGTCTGAACTTTAGCCGCTCTGCTGAACTCCATATGTGCATCAAAGTTATTGTGTCAAATTAATCTCCTCCGTATCGCACAAAGGTCTGACGCAAACTTCTGCAAGAGAGGAACTTCTGAAGCTTCTGTAAAAGCTGTTCGGGTGAGCGACTGAGTTACTGTGAGGATCTGCAGGGGGTTCACACTAACGTATAAAAACGGATGAATGGCGGTCAGTGTGCGGGTGAAGCTTCGTACAACCTCAACCCTTTTCTGCTAATCTTCTATGAGAAACAACGAAATGACGCCTCCCTCCAGACTGTGCAGGTTTAGATCTGTGCCAGGACACACCTTCTCTAACTCGGGGAATAAAACGTCCTCATTTTACTTTAAACTATCAGCAGTTCTGCAGTAATGGTTTATTTTGTCGTTAAATTTTCTCCCAAACAGATGCTTCATTATTAATTTATGCTTTCATTTAATCTAAGTCGCATTACTGCACAGACCGATCCACAAACTGCAGGCTTCAGCGAATTCAGAGTCCAGACACCTGCTTCTTAAAAAACCTCACCTCCTTTCCATTTAATCCAGAATCACTTTGGAAACCCTGTTTTTACTCCAGAAAACACTCCGCGGTTCAGGTCCTCTGACCCGCTCACAGTCTACAGCTGATCCGGCTCCTGGAGTCGACCGGTGAAAACCTTTTAGCTGACCCCAGAATCAGATCAACATCCAGTGAGGGGATTCATGTCACTGAGATCCTCTCTGAACCACTAAGACTACTTTAGAAAGAACTGATCCATCTTCTGAGGTTGCTCCTCCTCATTGGTACCTTCTTGTTTGTTTTACTAATTTGATTATTATTAATAAGAATTAAAATATATTTGGCTGTTTCATCTGTGTCTGTGATATTACCTGGTGGACTCACTCTCTCTTGTTTTTCATTTTCAGTTTCACCGAGCGCTGAACGGTGCAAAAATAGCACAGCTACAAGATCGATAGAGCTTTTCATACGAGCAAAGACGGCCACTTTGCACAAGCTGCAGTTTTAGTCTTCATTGTGTTGATATGAACCTGTTGAGAACTTTTGTTCATCTTTGGCTTCACTGTGAGTTTCTGTCATTGTAAGAAGGCTTCAACCTTCAGAGACCTGCACGTCGATTTAGCCTTCTGTCCAGACTCACAATAGGACACAGCGGACTCTGAGAGGGTGTGAATGTAGGGCTGCACGATTTTAGCTAAAAATAAAATCCAGATTTTTTCTCTTAAAACTTCATTTTCGATTTTTTATTCAGTGACAACTTCACCAAACTTCACTTTAAAATGAGTTTTTCTATCATCTCTCAAAACTAAACCACTGAAAACGATGTAGTGCATATGCCAAGCCAGTAAGTGGCGCTGTAATGTTGCACAGGAAGGTTGTGCCGCTACCCTATCCGTCCTGGAAACCTGATTTGTACTGCGCATGTGCGAAATGTATGTCACTTCCTCTACTAGCCATCTTTGCGACAGCTCAGAAATTCTTCGCTCCTCGCAGTTTGCGACAGCTTCGACACATACTTTGAAAAGTCAGAAAACCATAATTTTGACCAGGTGGCGGCGCTCTCTGTGGCCAAAAAGGTCTCACCATGCAAAAATGACATGAAAAAAAGGACCAAAGAGGAAAACTAAAAAGGGCTGAAGGGGCAAATAAGTAGAATAGTAATTAGGGCAGGGACACTATGCTTTTCTCTGGATGCCGATTCGGTTTAAATTGCGATTCTACGATATTGTCAATTTTCTCGATTTTTAGTCTGCATTTTTAACACCAGTGAAACATTTGAATGATTATGATTGTCTACTGACTATTCCAGGAACCATATATCCCCCAAAAATACACACCACATGTAAGTCAGTTTTGAAGATTTCTTCTTACATTTGAAAAAAAAAAAAAAAAAAAAAAAAAAAATCAGTTTAAAAATTGTACAACGAAAAATTGCGATACCCTCCCCAAAAACGTTATTTTTGCATATTTTTTCTCTGGTGCTAAAATGGGAACTTGTTGGTTGAAGATGGAGTTAATCCTGTTCCTCTTTAAATAAATATATACATCAAAACAACATGAGTCACAACTGAAAACTGCACGTTCTACTTCTGTGTAACCCAAGGCTTTTTTTATTTTCTTCAAGAGACAGAAAAACAAGAAATCACAGATGCATGCGTGGCTTTAGTTTTTCATGACTGGTGGTATTGTGGAGGCTGGAGTCTGAATTTAAAGTCCTTGGTTTTAAATTCAAGGAGCAGTTTGGAGTTTTTTTTGCAGCACTTCAGAGAACTGTAGGGGGTCAGAGAGGTCCTCTGGTTTTTTTCCTCTCTCAGGTAGCTGGTCTGAAAGTCTCTGCACAGCATGCTCCTAATTGATCCGTCAAACTCTATGATAACCACAATAAAAGGTGACGCCGCTGACAGCTAAGTACCGTTTAAGGGTTTTGGGGGGTACATTCATAACAGACTCTGTCTACACATTTCATGACAGGGCTGGAATTCATTAATTTTTCTAATGACAAATTCAAATGAAAACCTTTATTAAAGTTTCTCCGGACCAAAAGAGAGGAAATAAAGGTGAAGAAAATAAATGGGAGACGCGGGAACAATAACGTCACAAATGTGAGATTTCTATAAAAGATGTTGAACAAAGCGCGTCGGCTCCTCGCCTCTGCGCCGCTCAGTCTGGGGAATAAAAAAGCAGTTTGATCCTCGGTCTGAACGTCCAAAGATGAGTTTGAATGACAGTGAAAACGCTCAAAGTGCGTGTTCATTCATATCACAACAAAAGGTGAGAAATCTAAAGCAGAGGGGTGAAATGACGGTGAGCAGACCTCCGTAGAGGACGCCCGTTTGCAGCAGAAAGACGTCAGCCTCCTGCACGCTTGTTGTGGTTTTTTGGCTCGCTCAGACGCACACGGCGAGTGTTTGTGATGTAGCGAGAGCAGGAGTCGATACTTTGGCTGCGACGCCGCTGTTGCTCTGTGCATTGGGCAATGATGAAACCATAATGCTGCCAATTTCTCCAGGCCAGCCGTGTCACCTAGCAACTCATGGTGAAATAAAGCTGTAATATCCAACTCCATCAGGCTCCAAGTTCAATTATGTGATAAACTGCTTTACCTGCTGCCTGTACGTCACTGTGTGTGGTTAATTTCTAATCCAGACGGAGCTCTTAAAATGAAGGAAGGAAAACAAACTTACTAGCAAAGAGAAAAATGGGCTAAACTGCCTGATTTGCAGATGCATATATATATTTAACGATCTCTGACATTAATTCTTCATTTTGAACATTTCTTATTGTTCATTTTTGTTTGATCTAAATCACGAAAAAGACACCAGCACTTTTACAAAGTTGTTTACTTCTGAGACTATTAACACTGCTGTAAACTTGATGTGGATGTGAAAAAGCCGGCCACTCATAAGAGAACACAGAGATATCGTTATATTACCAAATGTCCTCAATAAGTAATAACTATTGACTGATACTAATTGTTTATACACCACAGAAAAAGATGCTTCTTTAACCGATACCTGCCTACCCCACCTTTAATGTTAAAGGGAATTAAATGTTAGACTGTTGTAAAAGTTAATTAAGGAGCATTAAGAGCCACAATGAGGAAAAACTACATGTTAAGAGTTGAGAAATAAAGTCAGAATTTTACAAGAAAAAGCTGAATTTTGAGAGTTATTATGTTTGAGGAATGAAGTCGCTATCCTACGAGAATAAAGTCATGATGTTTCAACAGTCAACAGTTCTGCTGTTTTTAAGGAGGATACTGCTGACGAGTAGCTTACCACCTGCTTAAAAATGAAGGTTATGAGGTAAACAAAGTGCTTCAAAGACGGTTTCATAAAAGACTTAATAAGTCGTCTTTTAGCACATTAGTGAAAATTAGAAACTCTGAAAAGACTAAAAACTCGGAGTCCAGTTTGAAGAGAGGTTGTGTGATAATCACCGGATGCTCCGCGTTCCTCGTTTTGGTTCTGGCTGCTCTTACGTTGGCTCAAAATCCTTCGAAATAGGTCAATTAAAACTCCAACTTGATTCTTGTCATATATCAACTCTTTGATAAAGTGCATGTAAACACACATTAAATCAGGTTATGTGATCTGTGTTTTTATTGGACATCATCTGCAGCTGTTGAAGTCTCACTCCTTCCTCAGGACTGACAGAAACTTAACCACAAAAAGCCGTTTTTTTCTTCTGCTGCTTTTGCTCTAAAATAGTTGCTCGGTTCATCCTGATACGGTGCATTTTGGGTCACATTGAGACTCATGATGTAATAAATCATGACTCAGTGTTCGAGGGGCCGGTCGGTGTTACATCACAGTCTTTTGTGCAGATTTTACTTGGGCTGAAATAGACAGAAAAACCTCAGACCTTGAAACCCCTCTGTTATTACATCCATCCTCTTGTGCACATGCCCTCTCCTATGACACTCAGGCTTCTTGTTTATGCATCAGTGATAATTGTTCCTTCATGCAGACTTTACCCATCATGCCATGAACCGTCTGTGATATTTTCCTCTTTTGCTTAGGTTTATATATTCGTGGATGAGAGCTTGCTGAGCATGCAGCTTTATTATTTTAAAGGAGCTCCAGCCATTAAAGGGAGCACATTAAATCCTGTTAAGTGTCTATTAAAGCCTCATCTTTCTACTAATCACCAGAGGTTGGCATTAGCTGCCTTGCTCAAGCACTCCTCTGCAGTACTCGTTCAGGGAGGAGAGGACATTACCTCCCCCTCCTCTATTACTTTCTCTGCCCAGCTGTCCAGGAGTCTGACCTTGGAGCTATAAAGACTATCATAAAGTTGGATTTAAAATCTCAGAAGTGCTGATAGGCTGTGGCCAGCTCAGAGGTTAGGTGAATCTTCAATTATTCACATTCAAATCACTCAGTTTTTTTTTACACGTTATCTCCCCAATTTGGAGCGGCCAATTATCCTGCAACACAGTCCTTGACAATAGCAGAGGTCTCAGCAAACTCACTGCAAACTCCCCGGACTCTTGCACCAGACCTATAGTTTAATGCACACGGTTTAGAAAGTGTAGTGCATTTGTTTTCCAACTCCTTAAAATAATATCCTGAGAGGATTGTGTTTTGTTATGAGGATATTGTCCTTGAATCTCGGACACAAACTCAGGGCCAAATATTAAAGAAAGGCTGTGTTTTTTTTTGGAACACTTTCAGATGCATTAAGTTTGTGGTGCACAACTCAGCAAGTCGAGTTGCTCTTACAGCTGAGGATTTGCCTGCACTGCTGTTCTCATCCCAGTTTACATGAACTGATAAAATCATGCACACCTCTGCTACTGTTGGTGGAAGCATCCTCTCTTAAGAGGCGTTCACACCGAGGGCGAGTAAAGTCATTCGCGCGAATGAATTACATGTTAAGTCAATGTAGAGACGCGATTGAAAGCTCGGACTACTCTGGCAGAGCGAATTCCATGAATGACGCAAATTCATAAGAGTTGAAAATATCTAATCTTGAGCGGATATTTGCGTCGTGATAACCAATCACCACGTAGGTCCCCAGGTGACGTATGAAAACGGACCGGAAGATGTTTTCTGGTTTGAAAATATCAAATCCTTTTACTCAAAGTAGACGGGTGGACAGGCGCTCTGCAGCTGGGATAGAGCATCTATAATCGGTATGCTGGAGGGCTATCGTGGCACTGGCTCACCAACAGGTTGTCAAATTGGGTTCGGGTAACCCGAAAATACAGCTGGAAATCCAGGTGCTTTTTTGTCACCTTTTGTGATCATCTCCTCATGGAAATACAATCAGACCGAGACGCTAAGGCAGAAGAACTACGTTGTCTATCACTTGATTCTACCTGTTGAATTGGCAAGGACCACATTTGAAGTTAGCATAAACAGCTATCCACAGCTTTTAAGCAGTCTATTGATGCGAATCGCGCGAATGGACTTAAATCATTGTCGCGAATAGAGCGAATTACTCGCGCGAATGAAGCGAGTAAATACTATTTATTCGCTCATTGAGATTCGCGTGAATGAAGCGAGTAGATGATTTTACTTGTGCTTGGTGTGAACGCTCTTTTACATCTCTCTGCTGTTTCTCACCTGGTTGACCTGGAATATCACAAACCAAAACAATCAACCAATTCTGTGTGTCCTGGATCCACGGGACTTGGACAACAGCTCTGTCCAAAGCTCCAAAACTACTCTCAGATATCGCCCATCAACATCTATGAATGTGAGGAGCTAAAGGCCACATTAGAACTATTATAGCTAAATTAAAGTCCAAAATATCTCACTCCACATGTCAGGAATATGAGGAGGATAAATGAAAGTTTGAGGTTTGAAGTTTCCTGGCTCTGCATGCCTCCTGTGTGTTTTTAGCAGGGATGTTTAGACTCTGTCTAAAGTGTTTACTGCCTCTTATACCCTGAAGGGATAAAAGTTCACCGGGAGGTCACACACACAAACACACACTCACACAAACACACACACACACACACACACACACCTCAGAGTTAGCTGCATGTTTGTACATCAGAGCAGTATCTCTGTGGAGGTTTGAACACCAGGAGTATTTCCCTTTTTTCCTCACAGATCAGAGATTTAAGAAAACGGTTTTATCAGTGAACTCTTCTCACTAATCCACTCCATGCTGATATTTCATTTTGTCTCAGTCTCTGCAGTTAAAGGATGAACAATCTGTTTATCAGACACTTGTGCTTTTAAGCCTGTACTTTATATTTAATAAAAAGCAACGATATACTATAAAAGACTATAAAAATCATAAAACTATGAGTTCGTTTATGCTCTTTTTTTTAAAAACCAGTTTAAAAAAAATATTTTTTAAACGTCCTCTGCAGCATGGCGTCAGAATATACGTTTTCAATAACTGACTTAGCATGACTCTACAGGAAATTAAGTGGTATCAGTAATTATGCAGTAATTACGCAACATTTTATCCGGTCCCCTTGGAGAAAAAGTCGTTCTGAATGTGGAATATGGTCACTCTGGGCTAATTTCACTCTAACCGGATTGTTTAAAACACCGTGTGACATGACGCAGCGGAGAGAGGAGGTTGAGTAACACTGGGAGAGCTTTATAGGATGAAAAAACCTCCGGATGCTTAATTTCCTATGTTCTGGTGTTATAATTGGCTTTGCTTTGTTCACTTTAGATTTGTACTTTCCACCAAACTTATGGTTTTTATTTAACTTACTGTTCGTTCTCATTGAATCAGAACAGGATGACATTTAACTTGAGAAACAGGAACCCGATGAATCCGAACCCGATGAAAGTTAGGTCTGCTACAATCGATACACACCTCAAAGACAAAATCCACACCTTTCATAATAATAAATTTGATATCTGTGAAATGATGATTTCTCTGGTTTGTTTTTGGGCTTCCAGTTAAAGAATCGGGGCGAACAACCAAAAAGTCCTGTACCAAAAGGAGATTACCAAAATTTACTGACTTAACAAGCTGGTGAAGAGTTATTTCCCCTCAAATCCTCCATCTTTTTTTCTCCATCCTTTCAGTCAACTTTGTGACATTTGCCTCTGGAGTTCTGCCCCGTGTATCACACTGTGTTTGCTTTTTAAAAACAGACAAAACTTACAAAATGTTGCGTCACTTTGTAACACAAAACCAGTTTGACAGTTTGTTTGCTGCACAATTCTCTACTTTAAAAAATGAATTAAAATCAAAAAGATTAAAATCAGTTTGAAACAAGTTTTCAAAGTTGAATTGACAACAACAGAAAAAAACACTTTAGATGTTGAAAAAAGGAAACTCCATATTAGGGTTGGGAATCACTAGTTGCCCCACGATACCTGGGTCACGATACGATAATATCACGATACTTCGGCCACAATATATTATTGCGATTCAACACATTGCGATTTATACAATTTTTTCAGCTGTTTAGCTAATTTAGCATTTGTCTTTCCTTTATGTTTGTCTCATTTACGCTGTATTTTATTTTCATGTAGCACATCATGCAAACCTTATATTTGTTGTACTAACTTTCTCCTGCTTTATAATATCGCCTCTGCCAACCTCACTGGACGAACAGTTTATTTTATTTTCTCATTATCGTAGATTTGACTTCATATTAGCAATTAAGTAAAAAAAGAAATCAATACTTACGATACATCACCGGAAAAAATATCTCGACACTACGCTGTATTTATTTTCTTCCCTACTCTGTATCAACCCTGACAAACCAGCTTGTGCGATGTTTGTGAGTCACAGGAAAAGTGGCGAGGGCGGCTCTTACCTGGATGTCATCAGATGTCAGGTGTCCCTTCATGTCGCTGTTCTTCTTCTTGGGCGGGGGCGGGGCCGGTTTGTGGGCAGGTGGGAGGTCAGTCCTGTTAAGAGAGCGAGAAGATAACATGACACTCAGCACAGAGAGTGACGTCCTCCTCCTCCCCTCCCTCACCTTCTACACCACTCTATAATGAGAAGTCCTGCCTGCACTTGCCTTTTTCACTCTTTCCTCGGATTTTGAAAGATCTGGTGTTGGCGGCTTTGTTGCGGCGGCAGCAGCCATTCCCCCTGCCCTTTCAAAGGCTCTCGCTGGAGAGACACTGTGCTAATGAGAGTGGGCTGTAATTGGACACTGAGGTGAGGGGGTGGGGATGGAGGGGGTATAGGGGTCAGGGAGAAGGGCATGTGTGAGTCAAATCCTCAGGGTGGATGGAGCCTCATAAAGGTGGCGACACCGCGCCTACTGCGCGGCTTCTGTTTGTGCGACACGTGATGTCACCGAGAGCTCAGCAGGCAGCTTCACCTTTACCCGCATCCCTGCTACTAACATCCCCTGATCCCAAGATGCTCGTCACCCCACCCCTCTGCTGACAAACCTGGGGAAGAACAAAGCCTCAGCAGCTGAACACCTGCGCTCATTTACATGCCGCTATTAGCATACAGTAAACAACCGTTTTCTGCGAATCAACAGAGGAAATTTCACTGGCGATAAAGGCCACCCAGGCACACAGTCCGCGCTGATAGGATTATAAAGAGGGGAATTAAAACGAGAGCAGCAGAGACAGCAGTAATTGAAGGCTTGATGTTGAAGTTGTTTGAAGTGCATCCCGATAATTATTTCAGACGTGGAAGCAGAAGGCTGGATGCTGCGAAATCGCTACAAAGGAAAGCCCTTCCCTCAAACTTGCCAGCAGTCAGATGTCATCTGTCGCCTTCTGACATGATATCAGGAATGATCAAAGTTAATGAAGTGGAGCACAGACACTGAGCTGTGTACCTACATGCATTATCTGCAGCTCCTCCCGCTTCCCATTTGCACTGGTTCACGTCCTGATTGAATAACATGACCTTTCCGCAAGGCCAAGCTGGCGTTTTAATGTGCAGAAAATTTGTGCATGAGTGCACCTCTTAACTCTTTCTTTCACGCTCATTATTTCCAGTCCGTATCACCTTGTCTCCAGACAGGGCTGCCGTGCCACTGCCAGATTCGTGTGGCACCCTCTCCTGCCCGCCTGCAGCACAGAGAGGCGGCGTGCGGCTTCACAGTAGAGACATCCATTTTGTCGGAGGCAGATAATAAAGAGTCTTTGGTTTCTGCAGGTACAGAAGCAGCTCATTATAAAGTATTGTAATCCGCCGCTCATGACTGACTGGATTCTGATACGGGTGAAAACTTTGAAGAGACGTTCTGAAAGATGACATGATCGTTTTCTTTCAAAGCCTCGGTGAGAGGAAATGTAATTTTCAGCCTTTTCTGCCCTCTGAACAAACCGAGACTCTCAATCATGACACTTGTTTAATTTGCTGAAACAAAAAGCTGCAGAATATGCTGTTTTCTCACATAATTGCTATTTTATAGCAGAGCGCTGCAGGAGTGTCTGACATTTGCCTCGAAAATTCACTCTTAAACACAAACCGCTGGCTTATCTTCACGTTGGACCCTGCAGGATGAATCCCAAACATGTTTATGTATGATGCATCATTTGCATTCAGACCCCGCAGCTTTTTGCAACCTGCGTTTGATCCCACAGGACCCCTGATGATTATGTGAAGGCGCCGGCTCGAACAGGTAGTGTGTGTCGGGGCCTCACGTGCAGAATGAGTCGATTTAACCCGACCAAACATGAAGAAACTGCTTCGCCTCTCCGTGGTCACAGCTCTCTCTCGCTTCACTGATTGAATTTAGCTGCAGAGACTGTCATTGGTGGGTGACACAATAACTAAAAAAACGAGGTGAGGGGTGTCATCGCCGAGTGATGAAGTAGCGTGTGAATGCACAAACGTGTGAATGCTGTGGGGGCAGAGACACGAATCGAGACAAATGTATAGAGAGTGTGTGTGTGAGCGCTCACACACTCCAGCTGTGCTAGTTTGCACTATTGATTATTTTCACAAAGACTTTTTAAATTAGCAGTTACAGCGAGCGCATTTCTCAACACTTACTGGGAACAAAAGGTTTTCTGGAAATGTCAAACTGTGAGGCTGGGAAAAGACGGAGAGAAGGGAACTTTTGTTTTTCAGAAAGTATCCGACACTTTCTTCTCCTGCAATCTGGTGATTAAAAATGCAACATGAAGTCATGGAAATTCAAGACAAAATAGTCAAAAAATGAACACTACAGGCATAAAGTTTAGACTCTACGAAGTTCTTATCTGTTATTATTTCAAACAGCAATTAAAACCAAATTACATAGAAATATAATATATAACAAACAACTTTTTTTTTTTTTTTTTTTTACAGCTGATCTGATTTCAGGGCACTTTATCAGAGTTTTATATGCAAGATGTGCATCCAGACAGCACTTTTGGGGTATTTTATTCATTAAAGTATCCATATCAGTGCATGTTTTATGTTTAATATGTTGGTAGTCAGTGTTACTCAAGTTTGTGATTACTTCTCCAAGAAAGTAATCCAGTTACTTTACTAATAACATTACTAAGTTACTTTGAAAAAACATGGTGCAGAATCTGAATACCTAAACTTCTTAGCCTAATTTTATTCTAATTCTTTACCATAATTTATCACATAAAATTGAATCAAATTAAAAGTCACTTTTTAAAAACTTGTTTCATTAGTATGAATCTTTTAACTTTATGCAGACTGCATCAAGCAAAACATATAAACCCCCCTTTTCAGCACATTTCACCACATTTTAATAAAATAAAGCCAGTCCTTCTTCTGTTATCTTATATTTAACCATTCAGCAGCTCTCAGTCATGGCCCCCTTAAGTCTATGTTCACCTGTTTAGCAGGAGGAGGGCCCTCAGAGTCGGATGTGGTCGCCGCAGCGGTCATATCGGGTTTTGCGGTGAGTTTCGTATTACTTTGCAGGTTTGTTGGGTCTTTGCTCAGATTCGTGGTGGAGATTTTTCGCCGCAGATGAAAGTTTTCTTCCCGCGAAGAGTGAACAGTGTACGCTAATGTTTATTTTACCGAGTCAAACTGAAGATAATATCGGTACTTCCGGGCGGTAAACGCTGCACGGTCCTGCTCTCTCCCGCGCTCCCCTTTGTCTCGTGTTGATCACGTGACCGTTTGTTTACCCATAGATTTATAAACGTTAGATGTCTTACCTACGCTGTTAGCAAATGGAGACCGACGTCCGTGCATGGCGGCCATTTTGCTTCAGGCAGCTCCCCCACTCCTAACATTCCAGTCTACAGTTCATGTAACATTTAAATAACCATAGATTGATTAATTTTAAACCGATTTTCAAACGGTTTGGTTTGTAACAAACCTCAGAGTTTTAGTTATGTTCCTGCACACTTAAGAATAATTTTAATCATGGATTTTCAAACATAAACATTAAGCAGATAGATAGAACAATAGCTATAGGCCTACACACACAAGGTAGTTATATTAAATCAGTGACTCCGCCTCCAGTCATCTAGCCTGTCTCATATATATCTTGTGTCTCACAAAATGAAATCCCGGTTTAGTAACGCAGTAACGCAGCCTACTTGTGGAAAATTAAGGCTACTCTTATTCTTTTTGCAGTTGTAATCCTTTTCTTTAATCATTACTTGAAAAAAGTAATCATGTTACTTCTAACCTGCTACTGCCCATCACTGTTAGTTGTGCATTCAGAGGACACTTTGACATCTTAAATACTAGAGGGGTATCCAGAGAGGACTGCTGTTGTATTGTTTTACATTAAGTAGGTGTCCCAGGGACAGTGCTGTCATTGTTGATAAAATGAGTTTAAACTGTTGTATATCAGACTACAGGAATGGTGTAAAGATGGGATTTTTTCCTTGATTTTTAAAGGTTGGGTATCCAGAGGGCACTATTTATACTCACTGGAGGGTTATCCACGGGGCACTTTTGACTGTCTCACCCCTGAGAAGAGTTTCTATTTCAGCAGTTTGAGCATTTTTTAAGAAAGGGCACCAAAAGTAAAAGTTTTATTTACTTCAGTTGCACATCAGGGCCACCCTGCAGCGATTTTACAGATATTAGAGCAGCAGAGGGGTTGACCTGCCAGCACACCACTGCTCCTTAAGCTGCCTCAATTATACCCACAGTTAGTTTTTATGAAAGCAGCTTCAGAGTTTTAATCGGCAGGACTGCCAACATGCAGCCAACAGCACACCCCGAGCCTGACAAAATCTGCATGTCTTTCTGCGCACGTATCCGATGATGAGTCAGTGTTTTTAGCAAATTAAGCCAAATTCATTTTTTAGTTTTCGTAATGTTTCACTCACCAACGTAAGATCAGTAAACACAGTAACAGCACTTCAATCTGACGCGCCAAGAAAATAAGCAGTCAGATGTTCAGACAGATTTTAAATAAACCGTCAGTTTAGACGGATTAACCCACTTTTTTAAGAGCTCAAATCAAAAGTGAACAGGAGAGAAATATCGTTTTAAATCCCCGCCTGTGCCACAAAGAAGTCTGTGAACTGTGTTTAACGTTCACTACAGACAAATCTGACGAATGATTCCAACTCTGTGTTTATGATTCATCTGATTATTCCTCTGAGACGTCACCACATGTTCACGTTTTTTAACGGTTTTAAAAGGACCTTTCCTTTTTTGGAACAAATGCATTGTGGGAAATGAAGTCCACCTCCTCCCAATGAGTGTACTCCAAACATCTATAATCAGAGTCTGCAGGTGGGGAGGTAGTAGAGCTGTATGATTGGCTGGAAGTTGGTTCAGATGACGTAGAAGATCATGGTTGGTCTGAGAAGCGGTTTTCGCCAGATTAGGATTCTTCAGAGATTGTAGATTTTCGGAGAAATCACGGATGAATTTTGTGAAGAAATCTATCGCTACCTATAAAAGGGGACTTACGACCGCCGGACTACCACCTCTTTTAGATCCTGCGTACATTTTTTTACGTTACATTTTACATTTTTTAGGTTAACATATACAATTAAATCCATCTAAAATTTACTGAAGAGTATGGAGAGAAAATTTTGAGGTCAATTGAATGAACAAACGGAAAAGAAGAAAACTACAAGGAGCTTTTAACCGAGAGCATTGGACTATTAAATAAAGCGCAATCTAGTTAGTGTGACGTCTTCAACAGGCCCCGGGCCCTGAGCCGATCTAGCAGCCCAAACACATCTGGAACCTACATCGGTATCTCAACTCGATGTGACAACGATGGTCGATTTACAGCTTTGTTTGCAAACTTGGCTCCTGCGGCGTTTTTAACCATGAAGGTGTGACATCACTCCTGCATACAGCTCGGCTTCGCATGTGCGTTACATAGCAGGTCACGTGTAAAGGAGGCCTATTTACAGAGGAGTGACTTCTGCCCTGAGCTGCTTCAGGTTAGCATGCGGGTCACGGTGAGAGCTAAACGTGTTGATGTAGTTGAAGAAAATCAACTCAAATACATGTAGGAGACTAATTAGGAGCATATGGAAACGTAATTTTACTGTATGAAGAGTTAACAAGAAGAAACTCGACAGTGGCAGCTGTGGCGCCGCGTGAATACTGAATGAACTTTCCCTCAATCGTCAAAACACGACTTCCTCTCCATTCAGAGCTATAAGACAGAAGCTTTTGATCGGAATCGTATACTCCTTTCTTTATTCCAGTTTCCTGTGAATATTATAGATTAATAAAGGCCCACGTTTTATTCTATTTCTGAGTGAGCGACTCTTGACTAAAATAAAGATGAAGATGCAAATGAGTTCAAACGGCTGAGAATAGTCCGGGTTTATGAAGGTTGTGCACTTTTCCTCATGAATCTCTGACGCTCTCTCGCTCTCTCTCTGTCTTGCAGCACAATTATGTCCACATCAGCCTCACCATCTCATGTGCATCTTCTTTGTGCCATCTCACACACACACATACACGCACACACACTTCTGCACCGGCTGTGATGCAGGCAGCATGTGGGCGTCGGCTTTGTGAGCCGCGGACGCTAATGAAAGCTGACAAGCAGCACAAGCCTGCGGGGAGCAGAAAGCACCGGGCAGGAGAGCCACATTCAAGTTTGCACTGTTTCCTACTCAGACATCCACCTTGAAGACCTCGCTCCGCCTCGCTCTGTTGGCTACAAAAGGCTCAGGGCAGCTTAAGGAGAGATTTAAGGGGGATAGCGAGGAGAAAACATAACTAATCCTTAAACTGAGGAGAGTAATCTGTAAGGGAAGATTTACAGCAAAGAAATGACTTTTACAATGCACTCCTGGAAAAGTGACCTTTCTATTAGAAATTTTCCCGACAATGAGGCGGCGTTTTTAAAGCTCCGATTATCAGAGTGAAGACACTTATCAGGGTGACAGCTCCAAAACACACTCCCACTGTCTGTCTGTCTGTCTGTCTGTCTGTCTGTCTGTCGGGTGTGAGAGAAAGTAAAGTGTCGCATCCCCAGAAGCGTTTGGATTAAAGTCGGACCACAGCCCCGCTCCTGCAGAACAATGTGAAGTGGTGGAGCTGATCCTCGCTGCTCTCATTGATTTCTGTTGATCACAATCTTATTTGGCAATTTAAATGCTAATGATACTTTTAATTGCAAGACGGGATAAATGTGATTTGATCTCTAGGAGGCAATTACTTTCATGCTTTGTCTCGCTCCGATCTTTTCAAAAGGCGGACAACAATTACTCTGCAGAGCGCAGCTTTTTTTTTCTGCGGCAGAGGAGAAAGAAGAAAACAAGAATGAAACAGAACGACGAGAAGTTTTTTTTCTTTCTTTGACAAGTTTATCAAAAACTACTTCTGCTCTCAAAATGAAGGTTTTGCTTCTTGGTACATTTACAATTTTACACCTTTTTCTGCATATCTCTCTGATGTGGGGTTGTATACGCTACATGTCGCTATTAAAGTGTGCTCGCCACAGTGGACGGCGCTCAGCTGCGCTCCTTTAAAACTGAAACAGGAGACTAGTGTGCTTTTAGCTAACGCAGGGAGAGACTCTGTCCAAAGCACTTATCTGGAGTTAAGAGTATACGCTCTACCCAGAAATTTTCCAGCACTTTCCTTCGCATCAGAAAACCCACTTCTGTGTGAACTGGTGAGCTGGGGGGCTGCCAGGTGTGTCAGGAGTTCATGAAGAGAGGAGTACAATCTTTCTCTAACTACAGCCGCTCTGGATCTTTGGTAAACAGAATAAACCAGCAGTTTACACAAGAGTCTGTAACTATAACCAACCAGAGTCCTGAATAAAAGCAGCTTTCTTCAACATTAAAAACACAGAAAACCCCAAAACCTGCAGCTCATGATCCACAGGATGTGTCTACCTCATCAAAATACACTGAAGGAGTGGACTGAGCCTAAAACACAATACAGTAATACACCAATACCAACCATAACCCTCTTTAATATCCATTATATCATACAGTTACATTAAAGCTTCATAATATTGCTCATTCATACCAGCTGCTTCATGTCGAGCAACAGAGGACAGGTGAAGAAGAAGTAGCAGACTGTCAGCGAGCTAGCTGAAGCAAGATGTTAAAGATTACCGTGAATCTGGAAGAGCATGTTTGTGTGTTTGGAGTCTGAAACTAGTGCAAAACCACAATATGGTAAAGTGCTGGAACTTTCTGGGAAGAGTGAACTCTTAAAGGGATATTCTGGCATAAAATTAAGTTAGGGTCAAACACACTGTAGCACCAAGGAAGAACATTTATGATCATTTCTTCATGGAAATGCAATCAGACCGAGACGCTAAGGCAGAAGAACTACCGCGTCTGCAGTGCAAAATGATTAATATGGTGATTTTTACTTCAAGGAAATGATCATAAATGTTCTTCCTTGAGCTGCGTCACCCCACTGTAGTCTGTAATGGACTGGCCTGAGGTCTCACTACAAACAAGCGGCTGCTGGAAGAGAGTAGGCGAGTTGTGTTTAGTCTCTTTGCTAAAGAAATGAGTCAAAGTTAAAAAGATGTTTGGTGTCTAGTACTATGTCTGTGACCCTATATGTCCTGTTGATGAAGTTAGGTGCTGTTCTGAGCATTATTTGTGGCTATAGAGTGGCGTTTTGGTTGAGGGCGTGGCTCTCTGTATTTCTATCCTGCGGTCGTTACTAAAGTTGGTATAACTAGAGAAGCAAGCGGTCGGCAACATTCATCTCTGGAGAGGGTGTCTAACTCGATGTTACGGTGTTTTTGACCCTAACTTAATTTTACCCCGGAATATCCCTTTAAAGCTTTCTTTCTGTCTGTGTTGATTCTGGCGCTCCCTTGTGGACAAAGCGGGGACTTTTTGATTGTTGCTGATTTCGCCTCGTGCAGGTATGGAGGTCAAGCCGACCGTCACTCACTGTGGCTGACATACTTTCCAGAGACATGTAACTCAGATAACCCCCTCTTTAAAAATACGGATTATCCCTTTAAGCATGGATGGTAGATTACATAGACAGTGTCGATCGACTGCATGTAGAACATTCTGTACAGAGAAAACCAAAGCACCTGTTTAACTCCTAAACATGATAATTCAGATTCACACCAAAAACAGTCAAAAGTTTATGACTCAGAAAGACAAAGACACACAGTCCTACTTTGGTTACAGCTTAAAGCTAGAAGGTTTCCAACAGTTATTTATCACATTTTAAAGGTCTCCACACAGCAAAGGTTAAAGCACTGATGACTGGTTCATTAATCAGAGGATATACAAGAACAAATCATGTCTCTACAAATCAATTCTGCCTCTGCACTCTTATTAAATATTCCACTAAAGAAGACATCCATTTTTATAGCTGCAACATCCCATTTTTTTGTTAGATCAGTTCATCGATATTTTCAAGTGTCCTCTAAAACCATAAAGGATCTACGTCTCCTGTTCAAGCTTTAAAGGTGGAAAGAGTTTGTACCATCCCTCCAGGACAAAAAAAACAAAAAAGTGACGATATGTTTCCAGTTCGTGCTCCATCGTCCTTTCGCATTCTGCGTGTGATTCTTCCAGATATGAAGGTTTGAGCGTCGGCGTCTTAAGTGCACGTCCGGAGCTCGACAGTGAGTGGGTTCATTTTTTTTGTGATTTGTTCCCGACGTGCAGCGCAGCAATCATCGGTGCTTTTCGACATTTTGGAGGTCATACATCACGCCAGAGCGATGAACACATTATTTCAGAGAGCATTGCTTCTGACAATGCCCATCTATTTTGATAATCAGTTGACTATTGTGCCAGTGCAGCCTCTTAAGGGCCAGTGATATATGAGGATTGACCAATTTGGAGTCACATCATGTGCTGCTTTGTGAGGGCAAACAGAGGCGTGACTGGCGGTGCAGTCAGCCATGTTATCAAATGCTCAGGCTTGATTAACGGCTCATCAACATGCAGAATTAAACAGTGTGGCTAAATGCTTCCCCTTTACCCCCGACATCACACACTCATATATAAAAAATAAAAAAAAAACACGATAAATCTCTCTGAAGCTTCTCTGCGTTCACATCATCAGACATTTTCTTTTTCTTCGTATAAGACACTGAACATAAAAACGGACATCTATAGATATTCATCTGCACAGTTAAAGCTTTAAACAACATTTCATCACATTGAGCATCACATGCCGAGACGACGACAACAACAGTTACACAGCACTGACACCACCAGAACTCTTGCCATGCAGATTAGACGACAATCATGCACACAAAAGGAAAAAAGAGCGAGAGGCGGAGGAGGAGGAGGAGGAGGAGGGAGGTTGCACAATGTGGTTAGTTAACAAAAGACATCATGAGTGAGTTTTGGCTTATGTAAAACAAAGCCTCTGTAAGCTTACAGATTTCCCTCTGATTAACAATTGGATATGTAAGCTCAATCTCAGCAGAAAGTGCTCCGTTTTGTCCAAGCTCCTCAAATCTGATCAACTCTACGAGGAGCTGGATTTTATCTTTAAGACTTTTAATTAACTTTGATTTATCTTGGCACTGTTTCCATTCGCTTGTTTATCAAACTGCATCGCTGTTTTTTTCTTTTTTTCTTAAATGTGGTTTTCAGTCATGCACCAAATAAAGACGTTTGAGTCAAACATCAAACGACCAGAAAATTTTCCGTAAATTCAAAGTTTCTCAGACGTGTCGAAGGACGTTCGCTGCCTCACAATGGCGTGCTCAAGTATGTCACTTGCAGGCCACCGTTACATGCGGGTAACAGAATAGAGGATCCGGGAGGACAGGGGTCAGTGGGGGATAGACTGGGGTCAGGTGCCTCTACTTTCCTTGTGGGGGACTCTGGCTTCTCTGGAGCCTGTGTCACACAACTATCAGCAACAGCAGCAACAGCAATGCTGAGGGAGGGGAGTGGGAGACAGAGAGCAGAAACATTGGCATCAGAGTGAGAGAGAAAGATAGATTAGCAGGGAGGGGGAAAGAGACAGAAAGCAATGGGAGAGGTAAGAGTCTGTGCGCTTCATTTGTCTTAAAAAGCATTCCTGAGAGGTAGCAGCGGTGCGTTTCTACGGCTCTGAGGACTCCGGGCCGGGTCGCAGAGGCCAGAAACTCGGCACAAGTGCTCGACGTTAGCATCTTTGAATATAAAATCAATTAGGAGATTCTGGAGGGGGAGCTCTAAAAGAAGCATTGTAATCTCATCATGTGAGTAGATTAAAGGTTCATGTGGACCCTCAGCCAGATTCTGCACATCCCCCCCCAACCTTTGTTGTTTTGGTTATATTCCCAGGGAGGACCACAGCCAACCCAGCACACAGCAGCATCATTCCCGTGGGGATGTGGTTTGCATCTTGCGTATCCAGCATCGCCAAGAGCTGCATGAAAACCTTGGCAACCACGGAGCTATCTGTCCTGGCCAGGTGTTTTAGGCAAAAGCAATTAGCAGGATCAACTGGGATGCTTGTTCTTTCTCCTGCAGAAAACAGATATTTTACACTTCTCCTGGACAGATGGAGGAGACTTTTATCACCTTCCTATTGACACAGAAATTTAGTTTAGATTTCCACTGCTCTGTTGCTCGGGGATCCCTCAGCTGCAGCCTCTGCAACTTCTGCTCCCCCCTTCTGTGTGTACGGGGAGCAGCTGGCGATGTTCAACACTACCATGGCCTCCGGATTGGAGGCAGAACTAAATAACCTGGCCGGAGAGTTTGGCTCCAGCCGTCTGCTTGGCTTCATTGAAATGACCCACAAACCTTTGGTTTGAAGGGTTTATACTCGATCTACAACTCTGACTCCAAAAAGAGAAAAGCTGAGATGATACAGTCGATCTAAAACAGTGCAAAGACAACATGTCAGATAATCTGTTTTTATGTTAAAGTTGATGATGGCAGATTTGGAAAGGTTTGTGTAATGCTGAAAAAAACAGCCGGGCGACATCTCCCAGCTAATGAGGTTAATTTGCATCATGACCGGGTATAAAAAAGGGCAGTTTGTAGAAAATGAGCCTCTCAGAGGTTTAATAAAAGAGGAATTAATTCATACTCTGTGCAGAACTACATGACTACATGCAGTCATAACTACATTTAAAGACCAGGATAACCCCCAAATTCCACTGTATGTGGAATGACGGCGAAAAAGGCCGTTGGTGCAGATCGCCACTGATCGTTTCTCTTCCAAATTCCACCGGCTTCTTTCCACCGGCTACTTCTCGGCCCCCTGCGGTTCAGCCGGCCTTGTAGCCAATTGCCAGGTCTCTATTTCTTCCGGACACTGCAGCATAAATTCAGCACAGATTAGTCCGTGCTGGAAAGGAAGTCTGGCACAGCAACACACACGTGAGCGGGGACGGACAAGTGAAAGGTTTTTAAACGTCATTTCACCCCGTTGACATCATGGACGAGGACATGCTGATTCTGGAAGTCCAAAATCACAGAATAATCTATGACCTTCTTCTCCCTTATATAAGGACAGTAATAAAAAGGATGTGGCGTAGGATTTCAATAGCAGGAGTAATGGGAGTGGGTGGTAAATTACAAATTAGTATCAATATATATAGTTTCTAAGGTAATCATTTGTTCATGTAAATTTCCTCCTTTGGAAGGACACAATAATCTACTGCTTATATGTCTATGTGTCTGTCTTTTTAGAGACAACTCGTTTTCGTGTTGCACGTGAATTTGCAGGTTCTTGTGAGTTTCGCCTCACAAATGCATCTGGTGGGATTTGGCGGACAACATAAATCGCCGCTGTTTCGCATGTGGTGGAATTTGGGGGTAACTCGTTTTATCAAAGGGACGAGGCTGAAGGCAGAACTGCTTTAGAAAACAGTCATGACTCTGAAGTGGAAATGACCACATGGGCTCAAAACTACCTCAAGAGACCGTGATCTTTGAACACGGTGTGTCGACCAACTTCTCTGGACACAGAATAATGTAAGATGGACTTGGGCGAGTCTGAAACTATCTCAACGAATAAAAATCAACTTTCTTTTGAGAAATCATGGACGAACACCCATCTGTGAAGACTTTATCAGAGCTGGTCTAAGTCTAAGTCAGATCATGACTTTTTCAGGGAAGACCTTCCAGGAACTGGTCTTCCCTGTCCCCAAACATTCACAGAGCGGTGAACATGTTTCTGTCTCACAGTTTTAAAAATGTGTTTCTGCCATCGAACTTAAAATGAGCTGATGTTTTTTCTGATATGTTGTTTTTGCACCACTTTTGATCGATTTGAACTTTGAAATTCTGTATTTTTTTTTACTCAGAGTCTCAACTTTTATAAACGGAGTTATTTTCAGGGTCAGGATTGTGTTTGTGAGAAAAAGCTGCAGCTCCAACAATGAGGCCAGATTGAAAGAATTGTGTTCAATTAGGGAATGAGTTCACTTTAATCCACATTACAATCAAGCAGGCTCTTATGTTCGTTAATGATAATGTCTGCAAAAGTAAACGAGGATAAAGTTGCTTTTTAAAACTCTGGGAACAAAGCTCGACCATGTGCTGCTTGGAAGAGACAGGCAGTCAACAACATGTTCCCGTGTCTCTCTGAACACATTAACTCTCTCAGAAAAAGTGTTTTGTCTTCTCAAAATGTTTCTCTCTTGTGGGCTGACAGGAGTGCACACCTAATCTCACCACCTGTCCAGCCCCCCTGCAATATTCTGCGGCTGAGGCTCAGTACTCACAGGTCATTATCTGTCTCAGTGCGGGTCTTCTGCTGCCTCCGATGGACCATGACAACAGTAACAGCCACGCCGATGATGAGTCCAATGGCAACGACACCTCCAAGGATCCCGATAACACCACCTGGGGGACCCTGCGGCAGCGGCTTCTCTGCAGACGAGAGGAGAAATATCAGTGTCAGGACAGCTGCTCTTTGAGTAATTGATGCTGCTGGGTTGAACTTGGAGGGAGGAAAAAATCGAAGAGCACTGAGGACAAAGAAACACCAATGCTACATTTCAATGAGGTCCTATCAGGGTTTGCTAAAACCTTTCTGTAATAAATCACAAATCCTGGACGTACATCAGCAGCCGGTGGAAAAAAGCTCAAAACGAAAGCTGCAATGAATCCAAAATAAAGACAAAATACACAATGCACTATTGTAGGAGAAAAATCTCCAAAACACAGTTGGCATGGCCTTTTCCAGGCTCGGGGTTTTCTGTCAGAAAACACATCCAAAGACTATTTTCAGAGACATATTTCAGGATGAGCCCATTGTCCCGCTGGCCCTGGCTCGGCATGAATCCTCACTGTTGTGGTCACTCAGCAGCTGCTGCTGCATTTCTAATGTGTACTCCATCAAATTCTCAAAAGGAGCCCAAATTGGCTTAGTTTGAACAGTGAACCCGAATGCACTCTCGAGAGCACGGCAGAGCTATTACGTTTCAAAGTCTTTCCCAGCAGGGGGGTTTAAGGAACGGTGAAATATATTTCTAGCATTGCAAAGAAAAATAAGTGCAGTTCACAAAGAAAACCGTTTAGCTAATTGTCCAGAGCAGAGAGTGACGACGTGAGGGTCTGAGCCAGTAAACACAGCCGACTGTTGATGTTTCTCTGCCGTGTTTTTAACACTTGAGTCCTCTCAATCTGCAGATTAAAGCCAAGACTGTTAACTCAGAGATTTCAGAGTAAAAACCAAAGTTAAAGAGATGGTAACCTTTGCTTAAAGAGCCGCAGCGCGCTCAGTTGTCTCCTTTACTTCATTTCTGGGAATGTCTTTGAGAGCCAATCCCTGCAAGTGTCTTTGAAGGGTTTTTAAGTGAATGTCAAAAGCAATCAGTGCAACCAGAGAACATCTCTAACAGGGAGAAATATTGAAAAATAAATACTTTTGGATTCAAGCCTAGTCCTCGTTTGGCTCAGACGCTGCGAAGAAGGAACAAGCTTTCATATCAGTGTTTTTTTCTTCTGTTTTTTTTCCATTCGATATCAACAATGAGTCATCCTGTGTGAGATCGGGATGTATTTCAGCTGTTGTCAAGCAGATAAAAGCTGAAATATTGCAGCAGGTCCCATGTGAAACCCGCTCACCGTGTCCCAACCCATGTCAGGTCCGCTGAAAAAGGACACCTCTCTCTTTTCAGGAGCATAATGGGGCTTTTATTCTGAAAGGTAAACATCAGCGGCGTCTGTTTTCTTCGACAACAGCAGTTAAAGCTGTTCTTTTCCAGACGGGCCAGGGATCAATCAATGGCCGCGCGCCTGTTGTGATGGGATCCTGCAAATTCTCGCCATCTTCCACTTTGAAAAGGAAAGCCTATCTCCTGCCCTCATGATGGCTCCATTATTATCTGCCCGTCCCTCCTGGTGGCGACAGGACAAGGCCGCGCTCCCTTGGGGCCTCTTCTCAACAGCCCCTGCCTGCTAGCCTGATTCACCGCCCATAATGACGGATACACAGAGGACCGCCTCGCACAATAGCAGCCACGTTACTCCACCTTGTACCCGCCACTTTAAAGTCAGCGTGAACAAATCGTGTCCATCAGCTTGTCGTGCCGCTCCACGCTGATCGCTGCTGTTCTAATTTTCCGTCTCCTGCCACGTAAAAGTCACACTATTACAAAAAAAAAAAACAAATATGTCTCCTAGTAACCGCAGATACTCTTTTTCATGTGATGAATTTCAATAAACAAGTCTGAGGAGCAGCTTCGGAGGCTGTGATCTCGCCGCAGCATGGCAACAGATAAGCCAGAACTCCCAAAGTCATCTCAGAAAGCCAGTGGGCTGATTTTCACGACCCTAATGCAAATGCCAGACACAATAGTCTGTTGTATAACACTAACACACAGAGGAGCGGACTGGATCAGAATGCAATTTCCCTGTTGTGCAGCCTCCGGCTCTGTGCACGCAGGATTCTCACTGTCACCTCCTCACACACAGAGGTGGGCCGAGCCATCTGGCGAGCCGGTAGAAGCGAGATGGAGAATCGTCAAAATGAAAGCGTCCATGAGTCTGACATTAAAGCGTCGGACTCTGGAGATGACGGACGCTCTGTTTTGGAGAGTGTTGCAGGAAAACGATTAGTGCAACACTCTGAACAATAACGCTGAGCTGGGATTATTTTATCTATACCCTCTACAGTACGAGCCGCCAACAACACACCTTCAAATTCAATTAGTCCGAGTGAGATAGTCGAAGTGAACCTGATAACTGGTTCCTGATGGTTCAATTACGGAGGGGAATCTATTTTCAAGGACGTGAAACGTGGAGAATTTGGAAACACATCCAGAGGTCAACTCTATTAAATAAAAGCTCCGCTCCCTCTCCGCCTGCAGCTCGCTGTAGATGGCATAAATAATGTTGTAAAGTGGCTCATTCGCCGAGCGCACCTGAATTCTCGCTGTGGCCGTTCAAGGATGGGCGCTTTTAAACACGAGGCGCCGGGACTTCAGGCGTCGAGTGTCCTGATGTCACCGAGTTCAGGAGGAATTCAGCGATCTGACAGTCAAACAGGGTCTCTGTAAATATTCATGCCTAACCTCGGGCTCACACGGCTCTGATCTTTAAAAACCCGATCCACTTTCTGTGGTGTTTGTATTTCTGGACTTGTGTGAAAGTGGTCATTTGGAAATTCCCTCGTGCAGAGCGACATGAAGAGAGCTTTGTCCTTGTTGTCGAGTAAACAGCAGTAATATGTGCGGGGCCTGAGTAACTGTACTGTACGCCGCGGCGCTCTGCCTCCTGCAGCACCATCATTTACTCCACCTCCAGCATCCTCATGGAGCAGCTTATTGAAGAGAAATGAGCGCCGTCAGCAGGCAGAGGATATGTTTGTTTTTTTACTCTCTAAAAACTGATTAAACCTGAAACCACAGGTCCTGTGGAGGAGGGAGATTTCCTTGACTGTGTGATGGCAGCAGGTGAACCTTTTCTGTGTTTGTGCTTTACTATAAAAACGCCTGTTTCCTATTAAACCCAGAACAAAACATAATGACCTCTTTGTGCTCAGGTCTAACCTTGAAGAGGTCTAAACTAGGGATGGGAAGATTAACCGATATGTACTGATACGCAGTCTAGCGTGTGCAAGATGCTGGTGTACACCTGGCAGAGCATATCGAAATGTATCGTTATGTTTTTATTGATACAATCTGATCTGTTTAATACGTAACTTTTATTTTTACATCACCAAACTATTTCTAGGGCATAATTTCTTCTGACTTGCGGATGTACGTTACAAACTTAAGTATCAGCTCCGCAGATGCACCACATGCGCTGCGGATGAATGCTAGCAGTGAGAAGGAGTGTGAGGAGGAAGGTAAACAAATATGTTGGACTCTGAGCAAATTTACCCTCCTCTGAGTTGTAAATCTCAAGTTTGGCACCACTACAGTTTTAAAGAAAGACGGACGACTTGAAAAAATAGATTCGCTAAATGAGCCGCGCTGCTGTAAAATACACAGGCAGTAAGACTAAACTGATAACTTCAGCACCACGGTGTTGTCATGAAGGGGTCTGCTAGCACCCTCTCCTCCCCTCCTTCTAGCTCGGATTAGCTAGCAGCCAGCAAAGTACTGCAAGTTTCTCCCACCACGCTTGCTAACAACTCTACGTACTCAATGGCAATCACTTATGCTAAATCGTTCTTCATCTGCAAAGACATTCAGCCTCACAGTGTGACAGAAAACTAAGGTTTCAATCACCCCCTCCATGTCTTGGAGCCTCGTAGTAAAATAACAAACCAAAAGATATTCTCCAAAAAGCAGATCCCTGCCCTCTACGACAGAGTTAGAAGACAGATAAGATAGTCACTGAGCAAAGAGTAGCTCTGGATCGTGATTCTGGTGTGAATCGTACTGTATTGCATCGCATAATGCCACACGTGTATCTTATATATAACAGATCGGAGACATTATATTGAGATATATATGGCCTTATACCTAAGATGCCCAACCCTAATCTAAACCTATAAATCTAAATCTATACCTTCAAAATTTATGTACAGAGAAACATAAAAATAAGATTTGATTTTCTTCTTTTCTTAGATAATTATTCGTGGTTCATATTTGAGATTTATCCGCCATAACAAGCAAACAGGAAGGCAGCGTTCTCGCCCTGCTGGTGTCAAACTTCTGGAAAATGCAGCATTCAAAAACATCCATCTCAAGCTGCTGGATGTTTGACCTTGCTCATGGCTGACTTTTTCTTTGTGTTGTCTGGTGTTCGGGAGTCAAGGCTCATGAGAGTTTAGTGTCTGAAAACAACCCCAGCAGAAAGCAGAAAGTCGGACTCCGCTGAGATGGAAGGTGATAGAAACAGATCAAATGTTTGGGAAGTTAAATTCAGCGAACAATCACCTGGACAGACAGAGCTGTTCTGTTTTTGTTCTCTTTTTTACTGCAGCACAAAAACGGACAAACTCGTATCGCCTGTGTTTTTGTGTTTATTCAGAGTGAAGCAGCTGCAGGACAAAGAAGAAGAAGAAGAAGAAGAGTGACTGTTTCACACAAAAGACTTTGAATTGATGGACGTTTTCATTTGAAGAAAATAGAGAAATGGAGGATCGAACTCATCATGCATCACAGAAGCTTTTTGTCCTCCAAGGCCACCGTCACTTCACCACAAAGAGGAGTGAGCAAGGGAGCATTTCAGCTGAATATTCAGATTTAAAGTGAGGTGATAAACCTCAAATAACTCTAAAAAAGGATGAAAAGCTGAGCAGAGCAGCAGAAATCTTTGACACGAATAAAAAATTCACTTCAATATATTTTATTAACATAAACCGAGAAATATACA